ACGCCCCGAAACAGGCGGAATCGAATCCCCCCCCACACACACAACACACACACACACACACACACACACACACACACACACACACACACACACACACACACACACACACACACACACACACACACACACACACACACACACACACACACACACACACACACACACACACACACACACACACACACACACACACACACACACACACACACACACACACACACACACACACACACACACACACACACACACACACACACACACACACACACACACACACACACACACACACACACACACACACACACACACACACACACACACACACACACACACACACACACACACACACACACACACACACACACACACACACACACACACACACACACACACACACACACAAAACCAACAAGAAGCAAAAAAAACACACACACACACACAAAACCAACAAGAAGCAAACAAAAAACACACACACAAAACAAACCAGAAGCTGGTGCTGGGTTGATTTCCTGTGAGAAAAAGAAGGGGAATCCTCGAAAACACCGCGGCGCCCAATTGATTCCCAGATCACATCGCGGAGTCTCCTCACTCGCCCCTGTCGGACCTGGAAGTAACCGCTGCTCAGCTTGTGGGGTCACTACAAAAGGGAACCCAACAACTCCATTTTCCTGGTTTTACACATCCCTTGCTGGGCTGCCCGTTTTCAGATCCGCGAAAAGTGTTTTCAACTTTTAGTGGGTCAAATGGAAACCCCCACCAAGCACTAAAAGTCTAAAAAGCTAAGGAACCGGATGGCTGGAAGCCACCAAGCTTTGCACAGCCCTATACTGAACCCCAACTTTGGTCGACTTGGGCAGCTGAGTCGCGGAAACCGTGTTCGGCCCGTCTGGAGCGGAAAGATGTTCCAATTCCGTGCAGCCGGGTGCTGCCCCAAAGGCATCCAGTGGAATGGTTTTTTCGTGGGGGGCTGGGGGGAGGGGGGGGGAGGGAGCCCAAATAAGCTCTTAACAGGGATCCGGATGCATTATACACCTGAACATTGCAACTTGTCAATGGTGGTTTCACACTCTATTTTGGTGTTGAAAAAGCAACATGTGTCAAATGGTTAACCAAAAAGGAGATCTTAAAAGAGAGCCCTGCTTCTTTTCAGGCCTTGGTTGAGGCTTTGGGCTCCCTCCCCCTCCCCTCCCTCCCATCCCCAAGCCTCACATCGGTTTCTCCTTCCGATCGAGGCTCCCTGGATCCAAGCAGACGTGCCAAGCCAAGGTCCGCCAAAAAAAGGTGGGAGGCGAGGCCCAGAAAGTGGAGCCAAAATTGGGAGGAACCATGTTTTGTTGGGTGAAAACCATTTTATTTTTTTTTGGGGGGGAAACCATTTTTTGTTGGGTGACAATATTTTTTGGGGGGAAAACCATTGTTGTTGGGTGAAAATCATTTTTTGTTGGGTGAAAATATTTGTTGGGGGGAAAACCATTGTTGTTGGGTGAAAATCATTTTTTGTTGGGTGAAAATATTTGTTGGGGGGAAAACCATTGTTAAATCATTTTTTGTTGGGTGAAAATATTTGTTGGGGGGAAAACCATTGTTGCTGGGTGAAAATCATTTTTTGTTGGGTGAAAACATTTTTTTGAGGGAAAACCATGTTTGTTGGGTGAAAACCATTTTTTTTTGGGTGACAATATTTTTTTGGGTGGGAAAACCATTGTTGTTGGGTGAAAACCATTTTTTGTTGGGTGACAATATTTTTTTGGGGGGAAAACCATTGTTGTTGGGTGAAAATCATTTTTTGTTGAGTGAAAACATTTTTTTGAGGGAAAACCATGTTTGTTGGGTGAAAACCATTTTTTGTTGGGTGAACACTTTTTTTTGGGGGGGAACCATGTTTGTTGGGTGAAAACCATTTTTTGTTGGGTGAACACTTTTTTTGAGGGGGGGAACACCATTTTTGTTGGGTGAAAACCATTTTTTGTTGGGTGAACACATTTTTTGGGGGGGGGAACACCGTTTTTGTTGGGTGAAAACCATTTTTTGTTGGGTGAACACATTTTTTTGGGGGGAAAACCATTGTTGTTGGGTGAAAAATCATTTTTTGTTGGGTGAAAATATTTGTTGGGGGGAAAACCATTGTTGTTGGGTGAAAATCATTTTTTGTTGGGTGAAAATATTTGTTGGGGGGAAAACCATTGTTGTTGGGTGAAAATCATTTTTTGTTGGGTGACAATATTTTTTTGGGTGGAAAACCATTGTTGTTGGGTGAAAATCATTTTTTGTTGAGTGAAAACATTTTTTTGAGGGAAAACCATGTTTGTTGGGTGAAAACCATGTTTTGTTGGGTGACAATAGTTTTTGGGGGGAAAACCATTGTTGTTGGGTGAAAATCATTTTTTGTTGAGTGAAAACAGTTTTTTGAGGGAAAACCATGTTTGTTGGGTGAAAACCATGTTTTGTTGGGTGACAATATTTTTTTTGGGGGAAAACCATTGTTGTTGTGTGAAAATCATTTTTTGTTGAGTGAAAACATTTTTTTTGTGGAAAACCATTGTTGTTGGGTGAAAATCATTTCTTGTTGAGTGAAAACATTTTTTTGAGGGAAAACCATGTTTGGTTGGGTGACAATATTTTTTTGGGGGGGAAAACCATTGTTGTTGGGTGAAAATCATTTTTTGTTCAGTGAAAACATGTTTTTGAGGGAAAGCCATGTTTGTTGGGTGAAAACCATGTGTTGTTGGGTGACAATATTTTTTGGGGGGGAAAACCATTGTTGTTGGGTGAAAATCATTTTTTGTTGAGTGAAAACATTTTTTTGAGGGAAAACCATGTTTGTTGGGTGAAAACCATGTTTTGTTGGGTGACAATATTTTTTTGGGTGGAAAAAAAATTGTTGTTGGGGTGAAAATCATTTTTTGTTGAGTGAAAACATTTTTTTGAGGGAAAACCATGTTTGTTGGGTGAAAACCATGTTTTGTTGGGTGACAATAGTTTTTTGGGGGGAAAACCATTGTTGTTGGGTGAAAATCATTTTTTGTTGAGTGAAAACACAATGGGTGAAAACCATTTTTGTTTTGGTTTTTTGTGGGAAAACCATTGTGTGTTGTTGGTGAAAACCATTGTTTTGTTTGAGTGAAAACATTTTTTTGAGGGAAAACCATGCTTGTTGGGTGAAAACCATTTTTTGTTGGGTGAACACTTTTTTTTGAGGGGGGAAACACCATTTTTGTTGGTGAAAACCATTTTTTGTTGGGTGAACACTTTTTTTTTTGAAGGGGAAACCATTTTTTGTTGGGTGACAATTTTTTGGGGGGAAAACCATTGTTGTTGGGTGAAAATCATTTTTTGTTGAGTGAAAACTTTTTTTTGAGGGAAAACCATGTTGTTGGGTGAAAATCATTTTTTTTTGGGTGACAATATTTTTGTGGGGGGAAAACCATTGTTGTTGGGTGAAAATCATTTTTTTGTTGAGTGAAAACATTTTTTTGAGGGAAAACCATGTTTGTTGGGTGAAAACCATGTTTTGTTGGGTGACAATATTTTGATGGGGGGAAAACTATTGTTGTTGGGTGAAAACCATTTTTTGTTGGGTGACAATATTTTTTGGGGGGGAAAACCATTGTTGTTGGGTGAAAATCATTTTTTTTTGGGTGACAATATTTTTGTGGGGGGAAAACCATTGTTGTTGGGTGAAAATCATTTTTTTGTTGAGTGAAAACATTTTTTTGAGGGAAAACCATGTTTGTTGGGTGAAAACCATGTTTTGTTGGGTGACAATATTTTGATGGGGGGAAAACTATTGTTGTTGGGTGAAAACCATTTTTTGTTGGGTGACAATATTTTTTGGGGGGGAAAACCATTGTTGTTGGGTGAAAATCATTTTTTTTTGGGTGACAATATTTTTGTGGTGGGAAAACCATTGTTGTTGGGTGAAAACGATTTTTTGTTGGGTGACAATATTTTTTTGAGGGAAAACCATGTTGTTGGGTGAAAATCATTTTTTGTTGAGTGAAAACATTTTTTTGAGGGAAAACCATGTTTGTTGGGTGAAAACCATTTTTTGTTGGGTGAACACTTTCTTTTGGGGGGGAACCATGTTTGTTGGGTGAAAACCATTTTTTGTTGGGTGAACACTTTTTTTGAGGGGGGGAACACCATTTTTGTTGGGTGAAAACCATTTTTTGTTGGGTGAACACATTTTTTTGGGGGGAACACCATTTTTGTTGGGTGAAAACCATTTTTTGTTGGGTGAACACATTTTTTTGGGGGGGAACACCATTTTTGTTGGGTGAAAACCATGTTTTGTTGGGTGAACACATGTTTTTTGAGGGGGAAAACCATTTTTGTTGGGTGAACACCATTTTTTGTTGGGGGGGAAACCATTGTTTTTGGTGAGGGTCTCTTGCTTCACTGGCATCTCTCGATGGCCACACTTAGGCTCTAAAATATCTGCCATATCATTCCTCCCGGGCCTTGCCGAAACCAAAAAAACCTAACAGCTCCCAGCTTTCCGACAGGCCAAGGACTCGGAAGGTGACACCCAGAAAAACCCTTGGTAGTTTAGGATCGACTTGAACGCCCAGTTCTGTACACGGGAAACCACCCCGCAAACGTCCCCAACCAGACCACACCACCAAGAACGTGAGAGTCGAACCCCACAGTCTCAAGTCACCCAAGTACCCTCCTGGCGATCTCAAGACAGTCAACTCCTTGACCCCCGTTTGCTTAAGACGCTGGACAAAACACACACATGTCATGTCCAGTAGTGATAGATTCCGTGTAACGCCAGGGGAAACTAACAAGTAGCATAAAGCAAATGGGCGTTTCGGCGCAATTTTCCACTTGAGGCACGTTAACACATCAACACCAACTGGGAAGGCCACAAAATGGTAGATGCGACCAAACCTGGAGTCTCCATTACCCTTTAAAAATGGGTCCATGACCCCTTTATGTTGGGTAGTGACCCCCTTTAAAAATTGTCATGGAGACTCCAGGAAAGGCAAAAACAAATAGATCTGGCCACTCCGCCCTGAAACCGCGTGCTCTTTGGGAAGCACCGTTCAGCACCCAGCGAGCACAGGCTTCGACGGCGGGATCTTCCGGTAGGAAAATCGCTCGGGCGGTTGCTTCAGCGCCTGCATCCAGACCTGGGATGAGGGTTGAGGGCTCCAAACCCTTGCCCTCAGGCTCTGTGCTTTGGAGGCTAACCTGTTTCGGTTGCCTCCACTTTCATTTCAACATTTCCTACAGCATAGATTTATAAATGGAGATGGGATATGATACCTACCCCCAAAGTACAAAAGGGGAATAACCCAAAGATAAATGAACCCATCTTTGTAAATGAACCCTTTGCATCTCACTCTTGTTCCCATGGGCATTTGCTTAAACAGGATCTCTAGGTGTTCCCCCGGCCGCTCGCCTGTGACCTTAGTACTACCTCCTCCAAACTAAAAAGTGCACCTCAGATGTGTGTTTCTGTTTTGGGGTACCTTCTTGAGGTTAGAAATTGTTTAGGTTGGCTGCAAGGGAAGCCAAAAGGAAAGCTGTCATACTCAGGGTTCAATTTTGACGCATGAAGCGGTCTCCAAAGAGGAGTCGGAACCCCCAAAAAGCGTGGTTGCCCTTTGGTTTCCCTTTAAACCCCCGCGAAAAGGAGAGCGAGAGAGAGAGAGAGAGAGGCGGCCCGGGAAGGTTTATTTGGATTGGTCTTTTCGGATTTGTTGGTTTCTTTGTTTTTTTTCTTCTTTATTTGGTTCATTGTTTTATGAATATATATATATATATATATTAACAAAAAGGAAAACAAGCTCCAGCCAAATTTCTTCTCGCCCGCCTCAAACACCGCCGTCTTCACGATCCGCTGGTTGTAGTCCCGCACCTCAATCGTCGCTTGGGCCAGCAGGCGGGCAGCCGATGGTTCCACGGGGTGAAACACATCAGCCCGCGGCCCTCTCCCCTCCGAGTCTCGCTGGGTTTTTCGGGTTTCTTGGAGTATGCTTTAGAGTATGTTTTTCGGGCTTCTTAGGTTCTTAGAGCATGTTTTGCGGGCTTCTTAGAAGCCCTTTTCACTTAAGGGGGGCCCAATGCTTGGAAGGGGAGCAATCATCTTAACTTTTAGCAGTTCAGTGGTTGGATTTCAACCACTAAGCCACGATCAGCAAAAATGGAAAATGTTTCCCAACAACAACCATGCCACTTGGGTATGGCTCAAAATGAAACAGCTGGGGCAAACCGCAGGTTTTAGTCTACCTTTCGATTTACCAGGGCAAGCCATTTTGGAGCCTCAGTTTTGAGCCACACCCACTTCTTTTCTGTGTAATCTGCAACGCCGGGCGAGTTTCCCATCTCAAACCTTGGCGATTTGGAAACGGATCTGACTTTGACCCCAGCCGAACTGAGGGCCAAATCTACGGGCCCCGATATTTCGAAGGTTGTGTACATTAAACTCAGTCGCCCAAAGGACCCAGAAACAAAAGGTTAACCTTTTGGGGCCTTTACTAAAGAAAGACCAAAATTGAAAAACCAAAAGGTTAAAAGGTTGGCTTTGGGCAACTGAGTAAACCATGATTACAGGGGGGAAGTATCAGAAATTACCTTGGCCCTTAACACAGCCAGCGGGAAATGGACAAAAATCCAAATGAAAGTCCAGCCCCCCTCCACCAAAACAAACCTTTCAGTGGGGATTTCTTGACCTAACTTTTCAAAGCAACCCCCACCAGCCCGAGTTCTGAATCTCCTTGGGAGCAAAAACCACTCGTTGGAAGGCGAGCCTGCGGGTTCCCTTCGCAGCGCACAAAAGAACCCCAGTGGATGTCCAGGAGGAAAAAAGAACCGGCATCTGAGTCACTTGCTCAAAACCCGGTACAAAACTGGTGCACCCAGGACCATGTAAAGAACTGAAAAGTCGGATATCCGCAGCTATTGATGGTTGGGATCGTCCCTTACTAACCTTCATCTACCCGAGTTTTGATTGTGCTTCGTCTATTTCTTGGGTTGGTTGACTTTAAAGGGAACCCTTCCCGAAAGAAAGGTGAAAAAAGGAAGTAAACCCGCTGGGCAACTGGGCTAAGGGAAGAATAGGAGCACCACCGAAATTCGGGGGTTCAGTTCCGGTCAACAAAGAAAGACAAATCTCGATAGTTGCCATTTTCCTTTGACAGGGTGCTGGGCTGTCCAGATCCCCTAAAATTGAACGACTTTTAGTGGGTTGAATGGAACCCCCCACCAGACCAACTAAAACCCAAAAACCGAAGGGGATTGCAGGGACACACCAAGCGTGCGTCTTGTTTTGAAGGTAGCCTTCTTGGTTGCTGGCGAGACCCCCCTGCAAAAAGTTGTTCACTTTTCGGGGGTTTAGTGGAAGACACCTTCATTTCAACCAAAATGTTAAAGTCTAAAGATCCGTTGCCCAATAGCAGTCAAGCCTTTTGGATGGTAAAGAAGCCAAAGGGAGACCACCCATTTTGAGTGTTGCGATTTTGAGACAAACCCACTGTTCCCCAGAATGCCGAGGAAAACGTTCACTTTCGAAGGGCCAAGGTGATCTTTGAAACAGGCTGAGGGCAAGCCTACGGAGAACCCTGCTTCTTGGCCCACCAACCCCACCCAACCCCACTCAACTTCACCCAACCCCACCCAACTTCACCCAACCCCACCCAACCCCAAAAGTAAAAAACTGTTGCTTGGTCAAGGAAAGCCTGCGAATTGGAACGTGCACAAAGGTCCCATAAGAAAGAACATGGTCTTCCAACCAACCTGTGTAGGTTCTGTGTTTGTTTTTGGGAGGCTACATCATCTTTAAACAGCTCTTGCCAGTTTTCGTAGATCCGATCGAAATTATACAAAGTTTACAAAACCCAAAGGTAAGGGGGCACCTACTATATCGGCTTGCTATTTGCTATGTGGGTTTGAGTCAACATAACACCACCAGGATATGGACCGGTTTTAGTACTTGTTTCCATCTACCACAGCAACCCATGTTGGGTTTACCCTATCTCTGTAGCTTTCTGCTCCCCTGCTAAAAGCAACTAACCTTTAGTGGTTTAATAGATGTTTAATAGAAGACCATCATTCGTCGGCGAAAAGTAAAAGTCCTAACATCCCTGGGCAACATGCGCCAGCGCTATGTTTGACCCTACTGTGGATGGACGAACTCCTACACCACTTTGAAACCATGGTTGAAAACATTTTTTGTTGGTGTTTACAGGGATGCTCATCATTCCAGGGTGTCTGAGATGGTGCAAGATTTCGTCCATCCACAGTATTAAAGGAAAACAACAGGGGGAATCGAATCCTTCCAGGGTTTTTCTCAGGTGCTGCGATGTCTGGCTTTCGCCGCCATCCGCAGTACTCATCAGCTCGTGTTAATTTTCCATGCCAGGGCCTCAGGCCTGAAGGTTTGAGCTGGAGCTCGCCGTCCTAACCCCCCCCCCCCCCAGATTGACAGTAAGGTTGACCCAGGAAGAATAAACCCATCCCACTATTAGGGTGTTCCCTCCAAATTGGACACCCCCGTATTAATCAACCAGGGGTTTATTAATCCGGGGTTAACATTATGTTTGACCCACCTTGAAACCGCACATCGACACATCGACACACGGCTGGCCTTCGGGCCTTCGGGCCTTCGGCCCCCGGGGCCCCGAGCGGCTTCCGCAGTGTCGTGCACCCGCTGCAGGTGCCGCTCCAAATCTCCGCACCGCCTGCGGAAAAAGCGGCGGCTGAAAGGCGGGGGTCTGCTTTGCGGCCTTTTTGTGTGGGTCCTCCACTAGTTGAGGTTAGAATAAGTTGGCACCAACTTAGTCTGTTCGAGTAGAGGACCCTTCTCCCAAAAAGAAACGGTAAAAGGGCACCTAGCTGGGGGACCTAGTTTTTGGTAGGGTATGGGTTTTAGATTTGGGCAAACTACCCTTCAAGTGTCCATGGGACCGGGGAGGGGGGGGGGTTTCCCCTGCTAGAGAACATATGCCACAGTTGGCGGGAACTGCAACTGATTTGCAAGGTGGATTGATCCGGGGTCACCTGGCTACACGATGCCAGGCAACATGTTCAAACCCAACAAAATACATCCGGTAGGTCGTTTTTGGGGAACGCCCCAACCATGGCTTCGGACTTCTTTTATGCTCTTTAAGCCACCCCGAAAAGGATACCGCAGCTCGGCTCCAAAACCGGCGACATCTGCCTCTTGGAAGCTCCCCCTTGGACCTGGATATCCGGAAATCAAATACAGCTGCGGCTCGAGTCATTCCTCTGCGGAGGGAGTTGGGAGGGAGCCCAAATAAGCCCAAACAAGCCCTTAAGGGCTTAGTTGGGCTCCCTCCCCTCTCCCTCCCCCCATCTCTCCCCACGAAAAACCCTGGAGCCGCGCCTCTGAAGCTCCTGTACTGCACCGCTGAGTCGGGCCCTCAGCTTGGTACAAAATCGACGGCCAAAAGTCCGAGTGCCGGAAGGACCGGTGGATGCTGTAACCGGGGACCTGTTGAATATCGGGGTCCCCCGCGATTTCACCCAACAGAAATGTTTTGATAAACTAGGGAACCGCAAGATTCAGTCTTCCCTTTGACTTCGGGAACAAACAAACACGGAAAAGGGTACTTGGAGCCTCCTAACCCATCAAGCGGGAAAACACTGAGGGTTCAGGGACAATTTGTTAATGGCTGAAAGCTGTAAACAAGACTTTTGGTAGGTTCTATGGAAAAGCAATTGTTGCCAAAAGGTCTACGGGGCCACACCAAAGACCAGCCAAAAGGGGAACATGGAGGAAACCATAAAACCCCAACGGGCAAAAGAGCAAGCCTGGCAATGTCCAATACTCACCTGGTTTTTTTTTTAACATATGCCCTAAACACAGGTTGGTACGTACCAATATTGATGTCGGTAATTTTGGGTGAGTGCAGCTATCATCTGTCATCCCTTTTCGGTGCGTTAAGGCTTGGAGTCGGGGGGAGTTGCCCCCTCAAGCCAATCAAGAGCTAGTTCAACTCCCCAAGCCACCAATCTGAACCGGATGTGCTGAGGATAGCTTGACCCTTTCCTATGGAAATTGATGATAAGTATTGACCATTGCTCAAAAATCGGCGGAATGTTCCACAGCAAAATGTAGTCCCCGTCCCCAGCTTTTGGTGAAACAAATGTGGGAGACCGGTCACCTCCCCTGCTTGCCTTCATCCCATTTAGGGTATTAATCAGCTTCTGAATTGGTGGTTTGGATACGAATGTTGGTTTGGAGGTTCAGGGCTGGTTTCCCATTGACCCTCCACAAGAATCGGAGTTCAAGTTCCCAAATCACCCATCCAAACCACCCATAAAGGGGTACCTCAATGAATGCTAATTCGGAGCCAAGGACCCCCAAAGAAGCAGGGTTCATCTTGATGATTGATTTCAATTGGATCAGCCAAAAGCCTGCTTTTGATCAAGGTTTTGGTTGACATCATCAAAACCTGGTATCAAAATGGTCCCAGAACCATGAAAACAACTAAACCGACCCTACCTATACATAATTGGCACTATCCCTACTAACCTTCACGTGCACGGATATGATTGTATGGCTGCAAACAATCAGAAAACAACCATTGCCTGTCCACCAACCGTTCAATCATGGGGGCTGGAGGGGGAGACAGCGGGGGGCCGCAAGAATCCTCAATTCCTTTTAAATGACCGCTACAAATCAACATGGATTCAGGGGGGCGGGGGTTCGATTCCCAAACGAATTTCCTCTACAAATGGTGGATTGTTGGGCTGCATGCTAAGGGAGTGCTGCAAAATTACCTGTGGAACGGCTACACTCGACACTCGAATGATGGAGCGTCAAGTGACCCAAAGCACTGTGAAGCCAAGACTCCCGTGCCAGCAGTACAGCACCCGCAGCACAAGCAGCCGCGACCGCTGCTGTCTGTGCAGCAGAAAACGCTGCCCTGAGCCGCGTCGAAGTGCAAAAAACATCTTGCGGGCTGCCATTACATGAACAAATCGGTTGAAGATCGACATCCCCCAGCGGATCTTCTAGTTCTCTCTGTCGTGCGCAAGGCAAGGGGAAATCATGCATCATGTAAAACCGCAGACAAAAACTCTTGGTGACCAGGACTTCTAATCTTACACTCCTCATGAGGGATCCTCATCTTTAATTAAATGGCATCAATAAGTGAGCACGCATCATTCGACGAATAAGGAAACCATCAGCAGAGATCTTGCTTTCGCGCGTTTTTTGTCACACGGCTGACGATTTCAAGGGGCGCCCCTCAAACATTGGCTGGTGGACATTCATGCCGCAAAATCCTCTGGGCAAAAGTAGACGTGCGCAAGAAATGGACTGGGCAAATCAGTGGCGCGCAACAGGAATCCAACCTGAAACTTCAATTTCTTAACTTCCCCGGAAAAGACAAGCATATCTCCAGCAGTGATAGACTCCCTTTAAAACTAGAAAGCAACATAACACATAATGCTGATATGAGCCAGCGTCTATATTTGCTGTGTGGGGTGTATTCATTCTACTTTTAGTGAGTCCCCTATCGTTCTCCACGTTTCGCGTGTTCGTGCTGTCCCCGATGAACCCTCTGCAGGGGTCGCGCGCCTCGAAGCGCTCCCACTGTGGCGCCGTGCGAATTTGTAAAGCGCCCGATGAACCCTCTGCGAGGATTGCGCGTGCCACAGCGCCCTCGCTGTGACGCCGTGCGAATTTTAAAACTGCCCGATGAACCCTCTGCAGGGATCCTGCGCGCCCAAGCGCTCTCGCTGTGGCGCCGTGCAAATTCGTAAAGTGCCCAATGAACCCTCTGCGAGGATTGCGCGTGTCAAAGCGCCCTCGCTGCGACGCCGTGCGAATTTGGAAAGTGCCCGGTGAACCCTCTGCAGTGATCCTGCGCGCCCAAGCGCTCTCGCTGTGGCGCCGTGCAAATTCGTAAAGTGCCCAATGAACCCTCTGCGAGGATTGCGCGTGTCAAAGCGCCCTCGCTGCGACTCCGTGCGAATTTGGAAAGTGCCCGGTGAACCCTCTTCGCGGTGACCACGCGTGCCCAACAAACTTTCTACGCAAACCCCTATAGCGCCGCGCGAACTCGAAAAGCACCCGACAAACTTTCTACGCAAACACAGCACTGGAACCACACGCGTAGTCTTTTGTAAGCAAATGCACTAGGCCTCACATTTGCAACTCGGGCCAATGCTCGGGGTATCGACGGGGTATCGACCGGGGTATCGTTCTGGGCGTGTGTCGCGTGACGAAAATTTTCACAATTTTCCATAAGCTGTTAGAGCCAAGCAAACACACAATAGCCTTCTCTGCCTTGCGGTAATCATATATCAGTCTTGGCGGCTTGCTTGCTGGCAGCAACCTCAAGGTCGCAAGTCGCAACTTTCACCACAAGCGCAGTGCACAAGTTACACTTCGGCAGCGCCAGCTCGAAGGTCGCAGCTTGCGGCGGTCACGTGTCAGTCTAAGCGGCTTTTGCTTGCTGGCAGCAACCTCCAGGTCGCAAGTCGCAGCTTTCAGTACAGGCACGGTACACAAGTTAGACTTCGGCAGCTCCAGCTCGAAGGTCCAGCACAAACCATGTTCAGGGGTATCGTTTTTTGTGAGTCCCCTATCGTTCTCCAAGGAAAATGCAAAAAACAGTATTGAATGAAACGCCGTTGATAAAGTGGTCTTTGATAATTCTGAGGTTGACTCATATGCATTAGTCTGAAGGAAACAAATGGAAAAATCCTAAAACATTTACCAAAGAAGAGACTTTGCTCAAATTGGCAACGTCCAAAAATCGTGAACATTGAGTTGCGACCTGGTTTGGAGGGAACCACGAGCAAATCGGGCAAGTTGGGCACCTAGAGGACAAGTGGTCAACACCAAACACCCCTGCAGGCTTTGTCTGGCAAACAACCATGTCAAGCTCAAAGCCACTTGGGTTCCCCATGTTCTCCCTTAAAACATCATTCCTACAAAAGGAAGCCAAATGGAAACCCTTTTTGGGGGCTTGGCCATCTCCAGCAAGGAAACCAACTCGCTTCCTGAGTGAATTCACCCCCAGAGGTCATGTTTTTGCTTGCCACTAGACATGGCCTTCCACCCCTAAACAAAACAAGTCCCGAACTCAGGGGGCAAGCCAAACAACGAAGGAAACTCAAATTCACCACCAGAGCTCCTTCGAGGACATCAACCAGTTTGTAACACACGGGATCACCCACCCAATGACCCTGCTGCTCCCCAAAAACGTGGAAATAAAAGGTCAGTCTTTTGACATCTTGACTAAATATGGACCAAATCAGGGAAACCAACAGATTCAAAAGTCGATTCACTTGGGCAAGTGAGTTGTTCGTTGGCTTTAAAAGGGGCAACCCACTGAAAGCCAAAGAAATCTGGAATGGGATAGGTCCCGAGAGGCTTGTGATACAAACACCAACCCCTGACTAAATAAGAAACCCTAGGGTTGACATTTCTGAAAGGAATGGCGATGACCCAATTTGGATGATGAAACTCATAGTGGTTATTGTGAATCCCCTTCGTTTCAATGGTGGTATCTGAACTTCAGGCAGAAGCACTCCCTCTTCCGTGCAGCGTCTCCTTGTCTACGAAGGTAATGTAAATGAAGGGGCAGGTCCCTGAACACCTACAGTACACTTTGCAGCCAACCCTCCGAAACAGCAAAATTCATGCATGATGTTGTTCTTAACATCTACCTCCTTGTCTTCGTGTTGTCTTGTCATGAACAAATATATGTCCTGATATGTAGTGTATGGGAAACCCTTTCCACAGCTTGGCCCAAATCTGGGATACAGGAAAACTGGCTGTGTGTGAAGAAGCGGGTCCCCGCAATCGGTTTCCCCTTTTTTGCGGCGCATCGCTTCGCCAGGTGCAACCAGGCCAGGGCCGCCAAAGCACGCTCAGCATTCCTTCCGCTCCTAGGTCCTCCAGTAGAGAGCTCAGAATAAGTTGGTACCAACTTTTTCTGTAGTCTATTTTAGTAGCGGAACCCTTCCCCCAAAAAAGAAACGGTAAAAAGGCACTACTGGAAAACCTAGGCTCTCCTAATTTGCGGGCTGTACAACCCCTCCTCGGTGTAGGGAGACCCAAGGGTGATGTACGCTTCTTTGGTCCGCCAGCGGTCTGCATGGGGAGAAACTCGCGAGAAGGGCCGTCGAGGCAGAGGTAGAGAACCTGGTCGCTTTGTTTTGACAAGTGTACGGTGTACGTGGCTAGCAGGTGCTTGGACGGGATCTTTTTAGATAGCCGAAGCGAAGGGCTCGATTTTCGATCACCATCGAAAACGCCCACCCTGGAATTAATTCGCCGGGGGGGGAACCAACATCGAAACAGCCAACCAGGTGATGTTTTAATCTTTCAAGGGGCATACGGGCCTTTGAAAAGACCCCCTCAAAAAGGTGCCCATGATTTCGCTATGATGATAGTCGCCCTTGTTCGGTGGTAGGTTAACGGGAAACAACCCCATCGGGGCCCCATCGTCTGCATTTGATAACCCCAATTCAAGTCAAAGTCACGGCGGGCGAAATCCATTCCGCACCTAGGATAGATGAAATCCTACAAAAATTGGTTGATAACCCTTAATAAGACCTTAACGCCTGATTTAGGGCTTACTTGGGCTCCGTCTCCCACCCCTCCCTCCCAGTCCCTATGAATAAACCACCCACCAACTGAAATCTTGTCCATCCGCTCACTCGAATGACGCCCTCAACCCGATTTTATAGCCTCCAGTTGCTTCAGTCCCCTGGAAAAAAAACAATACTTCCAGTAGTGATAGATTCCCTGTAACACCCAAAAGGGGAAACACTTAGCCAAATGGACAGATTCCCTTTAGCCCCAACAGGGACAAACACAACATACCCTGCCGTCACATTGCCATGGAACCTAACGAATAAACAATAATACCTCCATTTGGTTAAGTCCCCTAGAAAAAATAATAATAAATATTTCCCGTAGTGAAAGCGATTCCCTTTAAAACCAACAGGGGAAATATAACAAACTCTTAACCAAATGGAAGACAATAGGTTTGTTGTCCCTTTTTTCTTTGGGGGGGGTTGAATTCAACACCCTTAAAAATGGATGATTGCAACCCAACATTATAGTGTGTTTGTCCATGTTACAAGGGTAGTTTGAGGGTCCAGGCAATAAAAGGTCGCCCTCCCTTCTCCCTTCCACTAAGACGATGCCACCTGACAAGGGAGGGTAGCCTGTACTCTAAAAATGGCAACAGTCATGTCAGTTCGATTTGCTCCAAGCGCTCCAAATGGAAGGAATCCCATCCAAGCGCTCCGGCGCCGCGAGGCGCTGCTGGTGGCCGCGCAGCGCCAGCCTTTTGAATCGGGCTGGAGCTTTGGGGTCTGTGAATGTCTAGGTCCTCCAGTGGTTTGAGCTTAGAATAAGTTGGTACATTGTAGTAGAGAGGTTAGAATAAGTTGTTACCAGTGCTTTCCGATTTTTTTATTGTTTTCTTTGTTCGTTGTTTTTCTTATTATGTTTTTTCTTCGGTAGTCTATTTTAGTACAGAGGTTAGAATAAGTTGGTACCCTTTTTTATGATACAAAAGGACCCAATTTGGATGATGAAACTCCTCAGGAAATCATGGTGGTTATCTAGGTCCTCCAGTGGTTTGAGGTTAGAATAAGGGCAAAGCATTGGCGGCTCTTCTCTGGGCTGCCCGTTTTCAGATCCCCTGCTAAAAGTGCACAACTTTTGGTGGGTCAAATGGAAACCCCCATTAAACACTAAAAGTCCAAAAAGTTAAGGAGATGGCTGGGAGCCACCAAGCTTTGTGGGTCTTCTTCTGAGGGTACCCGAGTTCTGTGCTATTCAAGGGAAACCCACAGGAAAACCCACCAGTTTGGGTGTCCCTAAACAAAACGCACACACACACACACATCCGAATAGTGGACCCTGATTCGATGTGTTTAAAGGACCCCTGTTTTGGGATAGTGAGTGTGAGCAGGGTTCCTGTTTCTGTTTCACACAGCCCTGAGTGTCAGCGTGATTTCAATGAAACCAAACACACTGGGCTGTTCAGAATGGAGTGTTGGCCGATCCGATTTCCACAACCCCTGTTGGACAACCACTACAAAAAGGCCCTTCTGTGCTAAGGTTTAAGGATTGCCTATGAGCAGCCCAAGCGCAGGGAAAGATCTCCTGTCCACTTCCACGATTGTTGGAACACGTGGCGAAAAAAACGTGATGTTGCGTGTGTTTTGTTGAGGGTGTCATGTTCAAGCTTGGCTTCGAGGGAACCAAAAGGAGAACTCACAAACCCAGGCGTCCCCTATTCCACACATAACCTGCGCTGGTTTTGCTATGTTGGGTCGCCCTAAATTTCCGCAAACAAATGTGTGCTTGTCTCTGCGTTTGATTGTTCTAGAGAGCCCTTGACAGACCCCCTATACTCATGTCTTACGCTAAGAAGGCCTTTCCAGGTGAAGTCCGGACACTGGCTAAGCAAGACACAGGTTCGGGATTTGACCGAGTCACCCCAGTAACACTACTGGGCTGCCCTCAGATCCCCCGCTAAAAGTGAATAACTTTTAGTGGGTTAAATGGCCACTAAACACTACAAGGATCTAAAAATCTAAGGGGATGGAAACACCAAGAAACCTGGCTGGGCTCCTTTGATAACAAGGATCTAAAAATCTAAGGAACCGGATGGCTGGCTTCGCCACCAAGAAGAATTTACCGACTCCAGGTCCAATCCAAACAAATACGCCGCGCTGTCTTTGGGTCCGGGCGAAGCAAAGTGGAGCCTATGCGAAATGGCGCAAGGCCGAAGCGGGCGAAGCGATCCAAATCGGGCGACCGATGGATTTCACAAACCTGGGCTGCCGTCAGACCCTGCTAAACGTGAACTTTTAGTGGGTGAAATGAAAACCCAACCACTAGGCCAACTAAAAACTTAAGGGGGCGAACGGCTGAGAACCGCAAACCATTGGGCCCATTGTAGGGGCAAGCCGGACTTCTCTTATTTGCATTCGGAATTGCCACAAAAGGGCAAGCTTGAACAAACCAAAAAACGAAACAAGGACGCCTGCGAATGTGTTGCCAAACATGGACACCAGTCAGAATCCCCGTCTTTCGTCATTTGGGAATGTTTCAAAATGAGTTGAACCGCAACGGGGTGGTCCTCTTCTTGTTGGCCCACCATGCGTTCTTGCCAGCGGGAGTCGCCCCATGGTTGGCATATCGTCCCGAACCGTCACTTCTGGTCTACCCATGAAATGTCCACGAAAACAAAAACGAAACAATTGGCGCCCTTTTTGTTGGTGTACCTTGCCCCCCACTAACGCAGCATTTGTTGTTGGAGGTACCTGAAAGATCAACTTCCTGCTGAACGCGACCTCCTTTCAGGTGCCGTGTTAGTATCAAAGACGCGCTGCGTTTTTTTTCCCACCGCTCTCTAAATTGGGAAATGGACCATGCAGCAGTGGCCCTCCATTGAAGAGGCTCCATTGAAAGGTCTTGAGGTTCCATCGCAGCCACCCTTGGTTTTTTTCGTTTCTTCCATTGTCGTTTTATCCCAAATCCTACTGTCCTTTTTTTGCTAGCCGCAAGTCATGTGCGGAAAGCCCCAAACAAAACTCACCTCCAAAGGGGCTTGCGGTGATGGTTCAAACCGCAAGTTCTTACAGTCTGTGGCTGGAAATTGCCAGATGTTCCAAATTTCAACTGCCCAAGCCAAAGGAGAAAGTTTAGGGAACTTTCAGAATGGATTTCAGTTCTCCGGTTGCTGTTTAAAGCAAACCAGGAGACTCCAGGTCCCCTCAAAAGAGTAAAAACGAATCCCACGGAGTTGAGCCTTTTTTAGAAGGGGAACCTTCCCCCCAAGAAGAGACGGTAAAAGGGCACTACTGGGGGGCCTAGATAGGTTGAAGGCGCAGAATCCGAGCGCTCGGCAGAGTAGAAGGCGCCCTTTGGCACGGAGACGGCTGGTTGCCAGGCCAAGTTGCAGCGCCTCCGAGTCGGACCGCGGCGCTGAGAGAAACCCGCGGATCTCAGTTTCCACTACTTGGACCCGAAACAACTACCTGGAGTCTCCATGACCCTTCAAAAATGCGTTGACCTCTTTTATTTGGGTAATGACCCCACTGTTAAAAGGTCATGGAGACTCCAGGTACCCATGAAAAACGGGAGCTCACCAACCCTAATTTTGGGCTGCAACACAACATGTTTGAGGGTCCAGGTATATCTTGTGCCAAAGTCTAAGAACTCTATAAACCACCCATGAATCCCTATGTCGTATCAAGTCGCTTACGCGCGAGCTTGCGCTCTCCTTACGCGACCCATGTTTTAGCTTAAGCGTCAATCAGCGATCATGTTCAGCTTACGCGTGGCTTACGCGTGGGCATTTCGAGCGCCTCAAGAATTGCTTACGCGAGCTCCTTTTCTCATGCAGCCGCCAGAACTGTTCAAGATCATGTGGATGACTCTGTGGAAGAAGATGACGAAGAACTACCCTCACGAGTTTCAGCGGCTGGGCATTGTTGTTCTTGCTGCAAGTCAAGAAACGGGTTATGTGGCAGCGGCATCCATCTCGAGGGCTAGCGGGCGCCCAGCTAGGCCAGCTTACGCGCACCTTAAGCGCCGAGCTTACGCGCCCGAGCCCTTCAGTTTTGCTAGATCAGCGGTTTCAGAAGCCTTTGTTTATCAATCCTAGTTAAAGTTGCAACAGCAGCTAGCGTGAGCCCCAAGAGCTCCCAGTCAAGGTTCTGCTGGTTTTGTTTTCTACTGGTGTGTACATGCCGTCTTAGGCGTCGTCCTGCAGCCAAAGTCTCCTGGCAAGTTTGCCAGGCTCGACTTGGTTGCAACAGCACAAGCACACAAGCACAACTCCTCCGAGCATGCTTGCAAAGCTTACCGAGCAATCACGAAGAAGAGTTTACATGCAACGGGCATTTTTTGGAGCTCCTCATTTGGAGGGGCCCCCGCCCCTGCATTAATAAACAAGGGTTTATGAATCCTGGGGAAGGGATAAGATTCCCCTGAGAATTTAGGCTGAGCTTGAAGGCAAATTATGGGGAATCCTCCTGTACCCCGGCTTCCTCCACATCCCTTGTCGGGTGTGGTGTTCCCCCCTTTTTTGAGTGCCTCTCGGGTGACGGGCGCCTCATTTTCCTGCGCAGTGGTTTCTCTAAGAGAAATCCGTGCTGGGGGTCAAGCAAGGTGCCACCCATTTGGCTCGTTCGACGTCGTTCGAGTCGCGCCTCGCAGCGGCTGGCGCCTTCTTGCGCTGCCCGCCTGGCAGGTGAGGGGAATTCGGAAAGCGAGAACCGAGTCTAACCGAGTCTTCAATTTACTTTGGCGAGGTCCTCCAGTAGAGAGGTTAGAATAAGGGGACCCTTTTGCCTGTAGTCTATTTTAGTAGAGGAACCCTCCCCAAAAAAAAGGGTAAGGGGCACTACTGGGGGCACTACTGTCCTTGATCTTCCTCTTTAACAACTGCTCGTCCAAAATCTCAGGAAGATCGAGGCTTGTCCTTCCCACATGACAGCGGATGCTAGTGCAGCGCACGCTGGTGGTGCTTGGAGAATTTCAAAAATTGAGATTGGTGGGAGAAAAACAAGTATCGATTTCACTTTCTCTCACCTGATTCCATGAATGGTGTATAGTATAGGCAACCAATGGAACCCTTCATACGATTCCACCTATGCGGACACTAGGACAGGGATCCTTACATCTATACACCTGAACATTGCAACTTGCAAATGCTGGTTTCCAACTTTAGTTTGGTGAAAAAAGCCACATGTTTCAACTGGTTACCCAAAATGGATATATTTTAAGGAACCCCAGTTGGAACCATCCGCCAAACCAACACAGAAACACGTCGCAGCTGGTGAAACCTCCTTCGAGCCATCGGCTTTCGGCGTTTCCCAAAACGTCTTCGCGAGCAGAGGGACGAAGATCCGCCAAACCCCTGGCCCCGAAACTCGGCGAACAAAAAAGCTGCACAAACAAAAACCACGGTGATCTATTTCCCAGAAACTTGGAAACTAAGTGCACAGGACGATGTCCTGAATCTGGAATTCTGCATATGTGGCTCAAAGCTCAAAGACTAGAGTGCTGCACTGCTGGGTTTTGTCTTTGTGTTCTATTTTGGTCCATTTTTGAGCCATGCCCGTACCTGGAGTCTCCAGGACCCTTTAAAAATGGGATCATTACCCAGAATAATGGGGTCATGGACCCATTTTTAAAGCGTCATGGAGACTCCAGGTATTTGCAAGGACCGAACATTTCAGACTTTTTGAGAGACTGCCCGAAAACGCCCAGACTCAAAATGAAGGGCTCCACATATTGTTTGTTCGGCAACAATGGCTATCTTTGGATTCAGGTGCTGTTAAATATACCCTAAAACATACACCGGTTTCAGAGGATGTCCCAGACTATGTGGGGGGAGAGGGTGTTTTTTGGGGCTTCGAGCGCATGGAAATATAAAACAACATCGCAACTGGCGATCCAGGTGGTACCGTTTTCTTTTGTACATGATCCAAACAAAAATGCATTATTTCTTTCAAATGGATATTGAACCCCAGGGCACGAGGTTTGTTTTTTCCGGCTTGCGGCCTGGAGAGGCTTTGCAGCTGCGCCCGCAACTCGAAGAGCTCGAAGCTCTGCCGGTGCCTCCCATCCGAAAAGAACCCAACCTTTGGTCCGAGAGAAAAATCGTTGCATATAGTGTGTATTGTACATACGAAGTTGATATATATATATATATATAACACTATACTATTATTAGCATTAGTATTGTTACTATATATATATATATGTATACGGTAACACTATTATTATTAGCATTATTAGTATTATCATGATAAAAATTAACATCGTACCCATAGGGAAGCAAACGCACAACACACAAACCGAACTAACCAAACCAAGCCAAACCAAACCAAACCAAGCAAACAAACAACCAAACAACCAAACAAACAAACAAACAAACAAGCAAACAAGCAAACCAAAACAAACAAACAAAAACAAAACAAAACAGAACAAAACAAACAACCACACAAATCCACAAACAAACACATAAACAATACAAACGTGGAATCTCACTTCCGATCGAGTGGGTTGACCCACAAGACGTCGAGGAACTTGTGTTTACCAGAAAGCAAACGGTGACCTTGTGGAGCTAGACTATATAGAGGTGAATCTTTTTCAAGCGGAGCCCCCCCATGTTTGGTGTTTTTCTTTGGGGAAACCAAAAGGGCAACCAAAGCCCATGTTGGGGTACACCTAAAAAGACCAAAAAGTGAAGACCTGGCCCTTTGTCACAAAAAAAATACTGTAGCCTCAGCAGAAACTCGCCTCTGACTGTCTAAGTTGCATTTGCTTAAGTCTCATGGACCAAGATATGTCCAGTAGTGATACTGTGGATGGACGAAATCCGTTTCGCGCGACTTTGCAATCATGGGAAACCATAATTTGTTGGTATTTAAAACCAAGAAAGGGAAATCACTCTGCTCCGTACGGTTCACCCCGCACTAAAAGAATGGCAAGGACCCAATTTTGGATGATGCAACTCCTTAGGTAAATAATGGTGGTTTTATGAACTCGCTTTGTTTCAAATCGTGGCAACTGAACCGAGGGTATTCTGAAGCAAAAATCTAGGGGTTGATTCCCCATTCTTTTTAACCATCGTTGTTTCCAAACACCGGATCCGTTTTCCCTGGGTTTCCGGAGGTTTTCTAGACAGACTCGGATCCCTGGAAAGAATGGAAATGGAAGGTAGCACTAGAAAAAAGGTAACCATCCACCCTCGCCCACACCACAGGGTCCAGCGCCTCAGCTGATCCTCCGCATATTGGCGCCAGAGTCCTAAGAACAAGGCGATCCACACGACGGGGGGCTCATGTGTTCGAAGGCCCACGGTTGAAACAGATCCAAATATCATTTCTTCAAGGCTTGGTTGCTGTTGACCCCCTGCAAAAAGTTGTTCACTCTTGGGGGGTTTAGTGGAAAACACCTTCATTTCCCCAAAAGTTAAGTCTATAGATCCGTTGCCCAATAGCAGTCAAGAAGGGGTCATTCCTGGGTTTTGTAGGCTGAATAAGTTGGTACCAACTTTTTTCTCTAGTCTATTTTAGTACGGGAGCTGGGGGACCTGGACCAGGAGTCCTTGGAGCGTGCGCTTGGCCTAATTTTGAAACATGCTGTAAGGAATCACTCGTGAACTGTGTACAGCCCAATGGACCTGGAAGCTTGACAGGCTTGGGCCCGTCATGTTGAAAAAACACTTCCAGTGACAAAACTTTTCCATCCCGAAACTCCTCACTTCCTGAGTGGACTTGCCATTACACCAGTAACCAAACTTTTTGTTTACCAAAATGGTCCACACCCCGCAAACGACCAAAGTGCGGGATCTTGATCGTCGATCGGAAGTAAGGCTCATAGGCTTGCTTAGGGTTCTTCCACAATTTGTTGCCTTCCTTAAAAAGGCTTAGAACTTCCCCCTCACCCCACACGCTCCTGGGGCTTCCAATGGAAGACCCAGACCCTCCATTGGACACCTCTCAATGGTTTTGGGGTCTCAAAACTTGGCTGTTTGTTTAGCGTTTGGGCAGGGAGTAACGTCCCATTCTAAGCTCCCCGCGCAGCACCTGCAGCATCGCCAGCCCTTGCCCCAGCGCGCCCCAGGCCGTCGCCAGAGCTCTTGGCACCGGCGCCCGCACCTTCGGCGGCGACCGCGCCGGCGGCGGAGGCGGCGGCGGCGCCTGGAGCATCGAAGGGGAACATTCCGGCCTTGAATCCGACGCCTAGGTGTCGAATCGGTCCCAAGTCCCAATTCAAGAGCCAACACTGCGTGCACCTTGCGCTGCTTCTCCAAGTGTTTGGCTCTATGTAAATCAAGTCTGTTGTGGAAGGACGAAATCCTACACAACGTTGAAACCATGGGAAATGGTTGTTTATACAGGGGGGTCCATCCACAGTATTTATGGGCCCCCATTTGCTCAGAATATGTGTCATTTTCCCTCTGATAGTCTCAAAGGGAAGCTATCCTTATATACTGTGGATGGTTGCGACATCCCTTTTGCACCGCAATTCAGAAACTCGGGTTTCTGATGATTTCCTGGAATGATGGCACAAAAACCTTTCTCAGAAAGTCGGAACCTTCTGATTCTGTTTCATACAGTGCATGGACGAAATCCATTTCGCACCATCTACCATGGTCGATGCCATTGTCTGTTGGTATTTGCAAGGGACTCATCATTCTAGGGTTTGTTTGCTGGTGCAGGATTTCGTCCATCCACTGTGTGATCCAAGCGCCAGCCCCCGTCCCCTGACTGCACCTTCCCTGAATTTCCTCCAAAGGGAAGAGGGGCTGCAATCTTCGAGGCAGAAGTGGAATCCCTGAAGTGAACATGCTGTCAGGGACGGAACCCCACGTAGTTTTGTAGGCATGGAACCAAAAAATAAGACTGCAAGGCAGTATATACGCCTGGTGCTACATTATCTATATATATCCATATAGCGTCCTACCTCCAAATTGCCAAAATCTATATCTGCATATGTTCCTAGGGCTGCTCATAGATAAATAATGGTAGTCTCACTTGCCCTTTTGGGACCTAGAAATAAAAGGACAAAATGGGAAGGATCCTTCAAGTACAAAACAGGTCAAAACCCTAAACCCTGACAAAACCCTACAATAAAGGTCAACACATTTTGGGGCCTTTACAAAAAATGGAAAACATTGGAAAATCAAAAAGTTCAAAGGTCGATTCGCTTTGGACAAGTGAGTAGTTGTATTAACCCCCCCCTCCCCCCTTTGTGTTCATGGTGGCTTGAATCCTTGGGATTCAAATCTTCCACCTTGATCTGGGGGCCCGATGCCCGTGTCTCCGTTTCTTGCCCTATGGCTCTCATGACCCTCCACAAACCAAAGGAAACAAACACTAACCCGTATGGCACAAATCCATTTGTACATGGTTGATTCCTGCAAGGACACCCAGCACAAAAAACATCAGTGGACCCTCAGGACAAATGGACCTTCCGATTGATTTGGGGCCCTCAAACAGCCAAGTCTTGAGACCCCAAAACCCTTTAGGGTGGGTGAATGGAGGGTCTTCCATTGAAAGCCCCAGGAGCGTGTGGGGTGAGGGGGAAGTTCCAAGCCTTTTTAAGGAAGTTTAAGGGAATCTGGGGAACCCTAAGCAAGTCTATGAGCCTTACCTTCACGCCTCTTCACGACCCCACCTGCTTGTTCTTGACGATAATGACAGGACGCGAGTAACAACATGTAGCGCCCTTTTGAAAACGGTCTCTCCTTCTGCAGATGCCCTTTAAAACCAACAGGGGAAAATAGAACAACATATCGTGAAACACAAAGGGAAGAAAACACCGGGGGGGTTCCATTTTAGGTATCTATGTTTCCTCCAGTAGAGAGGTTAGAGGGTACCCATTTTTTTTTGTAGTCTATTTTAGTAGGGAACCCTCCCCCAAAAAAGAAACGGTAACAGGACACCTAGCTGGGGGACCTAGTTTTTGCACATTCCCCTTGTCGGGGCGATATGAGGCTTACCCAAGCTTGGCTCCTTGTCGCCCTTGCCTCGGAAGCGAGGCGCAGCGCCCGCAGCTCCTGGCCCCTGATCCGGTTTTGGGTATCGATCCGCCTTCTTTGAGGGTACGCTTTTGGGTTCGGTTTAAAGTGAAGAGGACAACCACCATTGTTGGGGCCCTCTGTTTTGACACAAACCCAAAATGACATATCCAGGAAGCGATGAGTGTTGGCCTTTCAATAATGATACCCGGCAACTTGGAACGTCCCCGGCAACTTGGCCAAAAGGACACCGTTGGCATTTTGGGTGGTCCCGCTGGTGCACAGTAGGGAATGACCCTTCCGGGTGCGGGGAATGCACCAATGGATCCGCTGCGCCCTCCCCAAACACGGGCAGTTTCTTTCCCAGGGACCCCATTTCAGGTTCCATGTTTGCTACTCGATTTGCTGATGAAATCTCACCTTCAAGTGAAAACAAATCTAAAACCCCAATGGACCGGACGATTCGCTGGTTGAACCGCCAAGTCTTCTGCGAATGGGAGCCCTGAGGCTTTCCGACCGTTAAAACAAAGGGGACTCATAGAAGCATCAATTTGCCTAAGGGATTTGCCTACGCGTTCAGTTGTGCACTTCGTAAGTCGGTTATATGCTATAACTGGGGAAACTGTTCAGGCTGGTGTCCATGGTGGCGAGACCCTCAACATCTGAAAGCTGCTCGAAACCAGCCCAGAGCTTTGGACCCATCAGCCCCGAATCTTTCAGCTTGGGGAAAACGAGCTCCCGGACACCAGAAGAAAGAAACTGCCAAGCCTCACCTTGACGTTCAGTTGCCACCAGCTGAAACAGAGGGGGTTCAGCTACCACCACAGCGAACGAAATCAGTTTCGAGGAAACTTGACAAGTCGAGCTGCGTAAGACATAGTTCTATATCACCCAGCAGATGCCAGTTCGATGTCTTGTGCAAGAAAAACACGGGAGCAATGTGTTTCCATCAGGTTTCCGCCATTACGCGCAGAAATCCTTTGGTAGGGGCACATCCCAAACATAAGTGGCTACATGTTTGTTCGTGGGCTGGGGGGCAGGGACAAAAATGCAGCACACTTGGATTTGTCATTTTGTGGCAAGCCGGACTGCATCCTGGTTTCAGGGATCCGTTTAGAAGCCAAAACAGGGGGTCGGCTCCCTTACAACCATGATTATAACCTGAACTAATTACTTGGTCAAAAGCCGGTTGAGCATCAAATAAGGGGGCACGTCTATGTTCTCAAACAAAGCTGTCGCCCTGGAAGAGTCGTGGCTAGTGTTTTGGCGAGGCTTTTGCACGTGAAAGCGCATGCACCAAATGCCATGCAATGGACGTCTTGCTTTAGGATGGGCCTTCCCAAATGTGTTTTTTCCCTTTTGGCTTCCTTTGAAAAGCCACAAACAACGGAAATCCCTCCAAAAAGTCACGCTCTCGGACCTAACCTCGCGCAGACTGCCTCTTGCTGGCCTTGCGCAGGCCGCGCCCGACACCCCCACACACGCAGCTGCTCCACGAGCCGCTGCACCAGCTCTGTAGCCCCTCTGTTCATCGCCCGAGGTCCACGGTAGACAATCGCCCAGTCAGCTCAACGGACGCCCAGAAAGCGCTGCACAGCCTTGAGCTGGGTCTCGGCCTCTGCGATTGCCGAGGCCTCATAGCTGGCTTTCGCTGCTGTGGTTTGCAAGGACTCAGTGGGAATAGTAATCCCGGAGACAGTCGAATTGAATTGCCCCGAGTGATTCTTTCGGCGTGTGCGGCAATTTTGCCCGGAAGCCACTCCTCGACAAGTAAACCATAATGGGGGGCAAAGTTGTCACAAACTGACAACCTAAACAACTCCGATGGACAAACAGTTAGCAACACAAACAACGGCAGCTCGTGAAACAAATAGGGGACTCCGGTGCGCGGTTGCCCACATTGGCTCTTCAGTCAGGGATCCCTGTCAAAGAAGGCTATATTTCCATGCGCAATCTTCCATTTGCTCAAGCCCCCTGGGTTCTTTCCAGTATACAGTGATAGATTCCCTTACACACCAACAGAGAAAATAACACATATTCTGAAGCAAATGGAAGCAATTCAAAGTGAGCTTCCTTTTGGTGGGTTGGTGTCTACAGAAAAAGCACAGGGAGCCATGAAATATGAAACGACGCATGCTGTGAGAAAAGAAACTTTGTCCAGGAGAGGTCCGTATCGCATAGGAACCCTCAAGAATGGAAACAAAACCTCATTTACATACATAAGCCGCTGGGTGTAAGTCTTGCTTAGTTGAAACAACCCTCCCAAGAACGAACAACTTAAAGTTATGTTGCTGTAATGGCTTGCAGGAGGTGATTTAACTTTTTTCTGCAAAACAAAAGCATGAAGATCAAACCAAATACCTGGACTCCGATTCAACTATCCGGGGAAACACCCCAACTGTCACTTCTGGATTGCAATGCCAACCAAGCCAAGGTCCGGGTTCACCTAGGGTTACGCAGGTGCTTGTTTTTATCTACTTTCACATTTTCAGGACTTTGTACCCCTATGTTGCCCCACTTTTTTTCTTTGTCTACTTTCACGTTTTCCAGGATTTGGGGCCCCTATTTTGCCCCACACCGTTTTAATTTTGATTGTTTTATCTACTTTCACATTTTCCAGGATTTTGAGCCCCTATTTTGCCCCACACCTTTTTTTAAATCTACTTTCACGTGTTTCAGGATTTTGGGTCCGTTTTTTTTCAGCCACACCCAACTTAAACCCAACCCACCCCCACCCAAGCGACCTCTGCAGCAGCTCCGCTTGATGATCGCTCTGCAAGCGCGACAGCTGGGCCTGGCACCGAGATCTTTGACGCGGTGGCTCCAGTTGCCTTAAAATGGGAATCGGAATCCCTAGAACTTGTGGTTTCCAGAAGGTTTCCCGAAAAACCAACCCCAAACAGCGTACCAACTCGTGGCTTCCGAAGGTTTTCCGAAAACCAAACAGGGTAGAATCCCTACTTGGGTGCTCGATTTGCCAAGTTAATAGGCTTTTGGTAACCTGGGTGATAAAATTCACTTAGAAGTCCCAAGTGAGGCTAACATAGCTTTGAGGGAATTATACCCCACATGGTTAACCACTTGCCGAACATCCAAGTAGAACTTGTGGTTTCCTGACGGTTTACGAAAAACCAACCCCAAAACGGGTACCCTGTCACCTCAACAAAAAGACACACCTGCCCAAAGGAGAACAATATAAGAACCAAGGTTGCCGTGCCTATGCATCAAAGGCGTGAATTTGAGGGGATCCTCTGGTCGGGATCCATGTCCACTGTTAAGGCCAATCCCTCTGACACCAGGTCCCAGGTAGCAGCCAAAGTATAATAACCCCAGGTGACCTAAACTGGCAAGATAGATGATTTCCCTGGTAAATGCCTGGCAGAAAACCACATCTAAGCCAGTGGAACCCATCCATTTCGAACCAAACTAAGCGATGGACACCTATGATCATAACTCACCTGGACTTAGGAACCCTTAAGGGAGCCATGGGTATACTTCCGTGCTCCCAGGTGGGTTAGCTGTTGCACAGGCATCCGCAAAATTTGCTACCCAGCTATACCCGGGACCTTGGTTGCTTTCTGCTCCCCTGCTAAAAATCTAACGTTTAGTGGTTTTACGGCAAACCCATTCGGTGGCAAAAGTTAAAGTCCTAACATCCAAGCAAAATGCACCAAAGGGACCTTGGCATCGAAGCCCCGAACTGTTCGGGGTGGGCGATCTGTCGCATTCCCAACGCACGTCAAGGACTGAGCACACGCAAACATCAATTCCGGTACTAGGTCCTCCAGTAGAGAGGTCAGAATAAGGACACCAACTTGTTTTCTGTAGTCTATTTTAGTAGGGAAACCCTCCCCCCAAAAAAAGGGTAAAAGGGCACTACTGGGGGGCCTAAGGTAAGTAAAACCCTCCCCGACGACATGACGCAAAGAGCAAAGGGTTCTGCAGCTGGTTGTCTCATGTTCCACTTTAGAGGCTCTAGGGATAACTCGCCCACTCTGGCCAGGGCTTGCTGTCAGGCAACCCGAAGCGCAGAACAGAAGGCCAAGTTTTGCAAAACAAAACGATAGCTGGACTCAAGAGGCAATGGAACCCTAGCTTTAAACACATGGATGGATGGCACTGGTCATTGCTTAGAACCAAACTGCCATTCCACGTGACATTTCGGAAATTGAGGTGGCCGAGTTTGTGGTTTTCACTAGCCTGATTTGAGCATGCTCTCGTGGCTTCTATTTTCTGGGCTGCCCTGAGATGCCCCGCTAAAAGATTAACTGTTAGTGGGTTAAATGGAAACTGCAACTAAACACTAAAAAACTTAAAAGGCTAAGGGGATGGCTGGGAGCCACCAAGTTTGTTTTTTTGGCCAGGGTTGAAAGGCAGGGTCACCAACGGGTATGGGTCAAAATTCAACCACCAGGAGACCGCAGGAATTGGCCCTTGGTTCCATTTGCCAGGGTTCCATTTGGGTACCTATTTTTGACCCGCAACCAAATCTGAGAGAGACCCCCAAAAAAATATCGGCAAGAGCTTGGCGTCGATCACAGGCGCCTCTTTGTGCCACAACTGGAAGTAGCTGCGACAGGATGTTTGACCTGGCCACCGGCTTCATAGGCGATGGCCGAAAAAGCAGCTTCTTACATGGGTTCATCTTTTATTTAGTCTGTTTATCCCTTTCACGAAATTGATGCTCTTGGTATCACAGAAAGTGACCCTAAAAACTGTATCACGTTGGCAAACGGAAGCAAGACTCAGTCAACAGGCGCTCAGCATTTGTTTGACGAAATCTCCAGTCTCGTGTCACAGTGACCATTCCCACAACCAATTTTAGCATGATTCCCCAATTGACAGCTCAATTTACCAGACATCTAACTTCACTACAAATATGTGTTCCATTTAAACCAGATTTCCAAAGTGTTGAAACACTAGCACTATTGTAGGTTCATGGGGGCTGCTCAAAATATGGCCGGCTCCTTTTTGAAAGCCACCAGCGGGACCCCGTCCGAAACACCGAAAAACCCGCTGACTCGCTGAACTCGCCTGTCCACATCTCCACCAATCGCCTGGGAGTAGTCCGAGAGGTTCTCACCTCAAGCCCCCCCAGCCATGAAGATATGGGTGTGGCTGAATCGGACTGTGGTTGAAATGGAATCCACTTCTGTGATACAACAAAAAGGGCCCCCCAAAGACCAACCCCCCGCATAAAGAGGGGAGTCCCTTGTATCACAGAAGTGGGAATAAACCCTTTCTTTGGTTCTAGGAGTTGATTCCTTTTCCATTCTTTTCAGCCATCGTTCTTTTCAAAAACCGGATCCATTTCCCCGGGGTTTTTGGTGGTTTTCTAGAAAGAAGGATCCCTGGAAAGAATGGCTAATTGATCCCAAGCAAAGGAGGAGAAGAGGACCATGATGCACCATGGCACATATGGCTGTGTCCTTTTGTATCGGACCCCAAGCAAGGCTTCTTTTTTCATGTTGGCGTCCCTTTGAAAGCAGGCCAACGAATCCAAAAAAAAACAGAGTTCTGGAACACTGTCTCCAGATAGTTCTGGAATCCGCCCAAACTTGTTGGTGTTCCTTTCAGTTTTCCAAAACTTCCATTTGTTTAATAAATTTGTGTATTTCCGCCTTTGCAGCTGCTGCAAAGGGAATCTACCACTGCTGGACATGTTTTTCTTCCAGGTGGCTTCTCAGTAAATGGACGAAAAGGCACCGAGGGTTTGCCGAGTTTTGAAAGGAAGCCAAAAGGGCACCTCTGATTCTTGGGCGCCATATGAGCCACGTGCTCGAAACCCGGGCTAGAAGGTTAGGGGAGACTCCCCTTGCCATAAATGGCTTCGGATATCCGCCCTCTGAAAACTCTTTACAGGGTTCTGGGCTTGGAACTTAAAAAACTACCGAGTTTTGATTCTGACTCATACGTGGGTGTCCTTTTTTGGAGTGGGTGCCCTTGTTTGCCCAGTTTGTCCAGTGAAGCTCACTTGGATACACTTGGTCCAACAAGTGATGCTTAACTTGGAGGGAAATCTGGCCCCCCGGGACATAGGAAGGAAACCGACATTTTCCCAAACGAAACTCTTAAAATTTGCTTAGGAAAAGGCTCTCGAAGCTGATCCCCTGCTAAAAGTTGAACTTTTCGCGGGCGAAAAACGGACACCCGAGCTACTAAACCAACTGCCAACTAAAAACCTAACAAATCGGACGGCTGGGAACCGCCAGGTCTTGGAAAAAACGGGGGGGGGGGGGGGGGGCTGCCCAAATGACCTCATATCTTTCCTTCTCAGCTAACCCTTGGAAGACCAGTTCCCCTCAGGCCTGCTCCTGGTATGGCACCTTGGCACAAGAGCCAAAAAACAATTTCCCACTTGTGAGGGCCTGTTTTGGGCTGACACTGTGGATGGACGACATCCATCTCGCACCTGAGAAACCATGGGAAGCCATTGTTTGTTGGTATACAGGGAGTTCATCATTCCAGGATTTCTTAGATGGGATTTCGTCCATCCACAGTATTAAAGGAAAACAACAGGGGGAACCACAACTTTTGAGGGTCTAATCACTGGATCTCCCCCAAAGTTCAGTTGTCTGGTGGTTTCCACTAAAACTGCCCTCTTTTTGGAGGTTCCAAAAAGGCAAACGGAAGAACCCCTATTCTAAGACTCACCCAAACAACCAAATGGCAAAGTTGGGTGTGCGACGGTCAGGGTCTCATCCGGGGTGGTCCAGAAATCCCTTGCCACATGTCTCTTTGTCTACACCATGGGGTTCAGCTACCACCGATTCATTGAGTCGCAGGGGGCTTAGATGCCCACCATTGTTTACCCAAGAATAATGTTGACCCCGGATTAATAAACCCCTCCCATTATTAGGGGGGGTTCCCTCCAAAAGTGGTCTGAATCCAACCACTAAAAGGAATTGGACACCCCCCTATTAATCAACCTGGGGTTTATTAATCCGGGGTTAACATTGTCAATCCTCCAAGTTGGGTCGACCATTCTTGTCATGGGGGTTCAACCCTAGGGTACTAATGTCTGTTTAGCCCTTGTCTCTCTTTACATCTGAGTTTGCTCTCTGCAGGTTTTGCCAGTGATGAGGTTCGCTCTGCGTGCCGCATGCTGTCGCGCTTCTGCGCATACCGCTCGTCCACATTCTCTACGCGCTGCGCTGTGAGTGTTCTGAAAGACGTCATGGGCCCATGTTGACACATGGCAAACACAAGGTGTCATGGTTCCCTTGTCAAGCCACTGTCATTGCACGGGCCACATGCTTCACGTCTTTCTGACACGCTTCGCGATGTGGGAGTTCGCTATCCTGGATGCATGTGATGCCTGTAGGCTCGCTTGGGAACTCCAAAGGAAGCCAACCAATCTGACACATCACATACCCATTTTTCGATTCTCCAAAGGCGACAATAAAAAGAGATGCATTAAATAATCTGAGATGGTTTCCGCTACCACGCCCATGCAACCTGCTAGCAACTACAGGGTATATACCCCGATTCCCCTTGGGAACCTGTAGCTTTGGTTGGGGGGTTCTACCATTTTAGCAATGTCTCGGAGCAACCCTGGTACAAACCCCTTCAGCAAAAGCAAGTCAAACATGCCGTGCTCCCCCTACCATTTCCCTCCCCCCTTCGGGTCGGTTTCGTGCAGTACGTGTTGCAACAGGCAAAACCTCAGTAGCTACCGTAGGTTGTCCATGATCTTGGGCCAAGTATTGGTCAAACATGATTGAACCGCTGTAAGACTAGACACTATTGATTAAAGTCTCTTTTCTTGATTTCCCCACACATAACATATGTATATAATGGGTCTGAGTCAAAGTAATAAAACAACAAGGGGTCCGCAGGTTTTAGTCCCTGGTTCCATTTACCAGGGCTCCATTTTGGCTACATACTTTTGACCCACAGCCATATCTGTATATATATATATATACTTGGCTGGAATTAGGACCGCTGCAAAAAATATAACATGTTTTGCCTGCTTCGTGGAAAACAATGAAAACCCCAAAAAAGCCAACAAAAACAACAAGTGGAACTAATTCTGGGGATGTATGTATACATACATATATATAATATATATTTGCATGTGTGACCGTAACATGCTCATTTTTGGTGGACCCAATAGCGCCGGACAAAGACTTAGAAGGTTTGGACACTTCCCCAGAATTAGCTCCCCTTTGCTTTTTTGGGTTTGGGGTCCTTTGTTTTCCACTCACCAGGCAAACATGGTTGTTTTTTTTGCTGGGGTCCGAATTCCAAGGAAAACCTCCGGCTCTGAAGAAACCTTCTAAGTGCGCGCGCTCAGAACCTGGCCGGAGGATCTCGAGATGGCTGGGCCCCCCACGTCGGAGCCCAGGAATCGGTCCGCTGCCCGGTCCGCCAGCTCCGCATGCGCCTCTGAAAATCCGGTTCGCCCCCCCCCATGCGGATTTATAGCATCTCTACTCTTGGTATGGGCTAGCTAAAAACTTGTGTTTTTTTTGGACCCCCCGTAAAATTAAAAACAGAACCAAAAGACTAACAAAAAACAAAAAAAAGCATGCCAAGAACAGTGAAGATAGGGATGAATTTCCACGAAGCCGTGGGAGCCCTTAGGCGAACCCCCGCCAGGGTTTGGGAAGGTGAGTTTCATCAAATCTGCTGCCCCCCCCCCCTAGTGGTGACCACATCCGTTTTGCAATGATAAAATAATGGCGGACGCAAATTTGGAGGAAACCCCTGAACTTTCAGTACTGGTGGCTATATGGTCATGGGGCATAACCTATGGCTCCATTTTGGGGTGGATGAACATCCATTTGCAACCTACTTTGATTTTCATCGGGGTACAGGGTTTTGACCCACAGCCATATTAAATCCTTTGTCAGGGTGAAGTTTGCACATCAGTGGTTGACCCAATTTGGACGATGAGCTACTCCCGAACGCTACGTCATGCTGGCGAAATATTAACCCACCTTTGATTCAATGGTGGATTGAACCCCAAGGAAGATGGTCTAATTAGAAGCGAACAGGGTAATGTCAGCTGGTGGAACGTAGCGTTGACGCATGATTAACAACCCCTATGGATAAATATGAATGTGTCCCTGGTTTTAGTTGGTGTTCATCAATAAAAGAAGGGGAAACCCCTTATTAATCAGCAGGCTTAAGTTTATGAATCCGGGGTGAACATGAGATGGAATCAAACCGGTGTCAGTTTGCTTCGATTTCAGTTACGTACACCTAGGGCAGGCACTGGTGCCAAAAAAAAGCTCCGTTATTGGAAGGGCAACAAAGCACCTTCGCAAAAAGGTCTATCCAAAACCAATGATGAAGAATCGGGGGTGTCTTTTATTCTTGAGGGTACCCTGATTTCTGGTGGTTTTAAGTGAAAACCAAAAGAACAACCTCTATTTTTATTGGGGGGGGGTCCCCGATTTCAAGACACACCCAATCAGAAGGCGGATAATTAGTCCTGCAGCATCTCCCAGTGATCACAGACGTGGCCCACTCCATTGCGGATGCACCATGCCCCTTCTCCGGTTGTGCGGCCTTCTTCCTTGTGAACAAAAGGCCATCTATGTGCAGCCTCAGGTCGACCGCCTTTTGCTGGAGCTGCTGCTGTCGCGCCCAGCGGTGCCATGACAGGCGCCTCCTCATTCACACCCCGCATTTTCGTTCTGGAGGCCAAATCATTCTCCCCCATATTGTTTTTTTTGTTTATTATTATTATTGTTATTCCCCCCTTGTTTTTGTTTGGCCGGATTCCATCTTGAATAGGACAGCCCCCCTAGAAATGGATGTGTTTCTTAGGGGTCCCCCGCCTTTTTTTGTGGTTGGAAACCCCCGTTTCCGGGGTCCCCTAAAAAGACCCACCCAAGGTAAGAAACTTGGCATAGGGAACTTGGCATTGCTCTAAAGGGGCTTGACACAAAACCTACGAGTTCCTGTGGATGGACGAACTCCATTTGGCACCACCTAAGAAGCCATGCATTGTTTGTTGGGGAATCGTCGTACTTAGGGTTTCGTAGGTGGCACGAACTGGATTTCGTCCATCCACAGCACTCACATCCTGAGTGGATTGGCCAAACAAAGTCTTCACTTTTTGTTCACCGCTAGAATGGTCCAAACCCAACAAAAACAACTCCAGGGACTCGGGTATTCAAAACGCAATGACTGTGATCATGGCTTATCAATCCTAGGCTCAAAAAGTTTACGCGACCTATCATTGATCCAGGACTTTGAAAAAGCAGGCAAGCAGGCCTGTGGCCGATCCTCCATTTTGAAACCAAGAGGCAAATCAATAAGGACCCGTTTTACTATGCGGTCCCGAAAATAACAAATTGATCCATTCCCCTTTTGGCGTCCGTTTGGGAAAACCAACAAAAACAACGTCTAGCACCCAACTTTTCCAGATGAAAGACCCACCTCGCCTGCTGCAACCGCAGCCGCAGCTCAGCAATCTCCTCCTTTGCCGCGCTCAACGCGTGCCTCGGATCGAGCACGAAAACAATGGAGACATCTTGGAGTTGCTTGGCCAGGATTTGCCAAGCCCTGGTTCCTTGGCTGGAAATAGCGGAATTAGGACCTCAGCAAGAAACTTGTTGATTGCTTGCTTTGTGGAAAACAAAGGGGACCCCCAAAAAAGCAAAACATCAAAAAGGGGATCTAATTCTGGGGCTTGACCAGGATTCGCCAAGCCCTGATTCATGGTTGCAGGGCCCTCTGAGTCGGTGTGGGGGAATCTGCGGAGAAACAAATTTGTAACCACAGGTCTCTTCTCCAGCTCTGTTCCACTGGAAAAGCGACCAGGAAAGATGTTCTTAACCGTCCTGAACAGGAATCCCTTGAACATGGGGGGGGGGGGCCCTTTTTGACGAACCAAACTAATTTTATTATGTGTCCCGATGTTTGTCGTATTGTTAAAAAACAAATCGATAGAGCTCACTGCAAGCTGCTCCGGACAACCCTTTCCTGACCAACCGGCTAGAATTCGATCTCTGTTTGCGAAAGCTTCCTCCTTGTTGGTGTCCCCAGTGTAAGACAGCCACGCCAAACTAGGTGATGTGCTTCTGACAAGAACGCATGCGGGAAAGGTCTCGAACATGTCGTACCGAGAATAGAGTGTCAGGGGCTTGTTCCAGACCATAGCTTGCACAAATTGCCCTCTGCAGCCTTAGGCTGTGTTCACACTTGAGCTTAAAAATGCTACAGCCGTTCACTGGCGCAATGTCTCCTGTCCACACTCGCAGCAACATCCCGCGCAGTGCCTTGGATGTTATGATAATTGTTGGAAGCAGCCCTATCGAAACCCTAAAGAAAGTCAACCAAAAAGATGCTCCTTCCGAGAGGGTTGCTGGTGTTTCAGGTCCGCATACCCTCCAACCAGCATGGAAGCTGGCTGTGAACTTGGAAAGGTGGTGTTTCTACGAACGAGACCCTCTGGTGTGCTCAATCTATTATATGGTTTGTGGAAGGGCAAGGGCTTCGGAAGAGCCAATCCACCGTGGCAAAGCGCAGTTGAGATTGGAGAGCTTGCCAGTATTGAAACACACACACAAAAAAAACAAAAAACCACAAAAACACAAAAAGAACCCAAAAAAAGAACGATGTTTTGAAACACACAAAAAAGAACCCCCCTCAGACCGCAGACCGCCTGCAACAACTCTACCTGTTGGGCTGAAAGGAAGGAAGGAGCACCGGTTCCAGAAAACTAACACACCACCGGAGAGTGGCTAAGTTTGACGATGTTAAAATGGTTTCAAGGAGCGCCGAAAGAAACCCCGACCATTCCGAACGGTTCTCTAGTAGACTCAGAGCTAAATTTCCTCACAAAGCATAAAGGTGATGCTTACAACCTCCAAACAAAGGGGAAATCAACTAAAGGGGAAAAGAGAGCTGGGAGACCAAAGAAGCGACAAAGCCCAGCCGATCCCAGTGTATAGGCAGGGGGACCACACTCATTGATGCACCTTCTTATCCCCGTAGCTTTCTTTGGTGGGTAAATAGAAATTCACGCATGGGTGCGTCTTTTTGGGGGGGAACCCTGTTTGGTCGGTTCAAAGGGAAAACAAAACCGACTCATTTTGAGGGCACGCCTATTTGGAGACGTACCGGGGTTTGGTCGGTTCAAAGGGAAAACAAAAGCCACTCATTTTGAGGGCACGCCTATTTGGAGACGCACCCGTATAACCAGGGCGGTCCTCATGGGCGGTCTGATGATTCTCAGCCAAAAAGTGGTGGGGATTCGGGCCGTCACTCACGTGCACCGATTGACCAAGGCCCACTCTCCCGCAATGCATCTTGCGGCTCTTGGTCCTGACCAGTCGGGTCGTGGAAGATATGGGGAAAGGAATCCAAAAAGGAAGCCTTGCACATCTTTGCGGCTAGTTGATCCTGTGACGAAAGCCAATTAAACTTCTAGTGGGATGTGTCATAAACCTCTTCATACCCAGCTCTGACAAGCTACCAAGTTGCCCATGCCCAATGTCAACCTTGGAATGACTTAAACCGCTCTTACTGTAACCTCCCCCAGATAGATATGTCTCAAAATGGCTGCAACCTCCCCCATTGGGAGTTACTTCCAACACCTTGCAACATCTGTTGCTTTCCTTTCCCCCTGCGGGTTTCTTGTTGGATGGCTTGAAAGGGAAACCACAAGGACACCAACCACCTTTGGAAGTCGTCAATTCCGACATGTGTATATATATAATATAGAAAATCAAACATCACCTTGTCCAAGGGTCGACAATTTTTAAGATAATGACATGATTTTTTGTTCAGAGGCCAGCGTTGCCTTGTTCCATATGCTCGTGACGAGTTGCCACCCATGTTGACTTCAAACAAATGTTGTTTCCTCTTGATTTCACTTTCTCCCACTAAACAAGGGTGTTTTGTGAGGGTACCCCTTTGCTGACAACTGGTTTTAGGGAATCCCTGTTTAGTTGGTCTTAAAGGGAACCCAAGAGGACAACTCAGCCTTTCCCCAAAAACGACGTGCCACAAGTCCGGTTTGCTGTTGACCCCTGTGCAAAAAGTGTTTAACTTTTTGTGGGTGTAGTGGAAAGCCCCTTGATTTCCCAAAAAGTTGTAGTCTAAAGATCCAACCCAACAGCAGTCAACACAATGGTCCATTCCCCAGGCTAAAGCTCAGGAACTCAAACAAAGAGTGGATCACCTTCCATGTAAGCCGACCTCAAGGACACGGATACCGAGTTTCCGTGCGCCACAGGACTGACTCGAACCCCATGGAGTGTGGTACAATAGGTTAGTTGGCACCGAGGCAGGTGGTTGTTGATAAGATCTTTTGGGGTTAGTTCCCGTGTGGCCGACGAAATTGATTTTCGTGACACGTGTTCCATGTTCAGAATTGTAGGGGAAACTAAGGGCCATGTGTGTCTGTGCAAACAAGGGACTCCGCTAAAAGCTTAGCAGCTTGCCTAGAGGGTCCACATATCTCATATTCGTGTCTTTGGCAGATTCACAAAGTCACACCGAATCAACCCTCGTTTTGACATGTGTTGAATTGTTTTGCATGATATGATCCCAGAAGGTTCCATGAAAGTTTGGGGGGGGGGCGGTGAAGCAAGACACAAACCAATCAGTTGTCGGGTCCCCAATTTTCCCACCGCCACCTGGGAAGATTCCATTGTTTTCACACACGCACACACACTCACACATGTAAAGCCAGACTGAAGTGAACCACATGCAAATAAGTTTGGTTGAAGTCCGCCGTCAGACTGAAGGGAAATCCAAACACTAAACACCAAACAGCTAGGAATCTAAGGGGATACCTGGAACCAATGATTCTGGCCCACATAGTGGACTTTAAGAGTAAAATGATGTCAGAACGAGGTGTCAGAAGTGGGCGCTCAATCCTCACAGGGCTTACAATCACACCCATCGAAGCGTTCTTCTGCGCCTGCGCCGGTTGAGGCACGGCGCAGACCTGCACGCATCAATAAGTGGTCAAAACCTCAGCTCCATCGGGTCATGGTGACTACGCTGACTGAGGTCAACCCCTGAAAAGCTGGGCTGTTCCCTTTCGATCCCCTGCCAAAACTTTAACTTTTAGTGGTTTAGTGGAAACATACCACTAAAATAAGTCGTATTAGCTAAAAGCCAAAGAAGCCAAATGGCTGGGAACAACCAATGAGACAGAAAGGGGAGGGGGGTGGGCTGTCTGCACAGCTATACTGCGGACCTTGTCGAAAAGAAAAAAGTTCTTGGAGCTCAACCAGTTTGTCCGGTCTTTCGTTGCTTCTTTGGCCAATCTCCGGCTCAATGGTTCCAACCCGGAGTGTGGCTTCAAACAGGCTGACACCGAACACCGTATCTGGGAGGCTCGTCTTTTTTTGAGTTGCTACGTTTCTTATTGTGGTGGAGCACCAAAAGGAAAACCCGAAATCCATTTTGGGGGGGCTCAATTCCTAAATGAAAGAAACAGCCATTTTGAGCTTGCAAGCAACACTCCTTGCCAGGATCAAAACTGCCCAGAGTATTTTTGTGGTTTCCCGTACAGCCCTCCCAGCTTGGTAACGACACTGGCCAGTTTTGGAAGTCCATGGCGACCCTTCTAAGTCGAAATCCCACCACAATGAGAGCATCTCTCCCTGCCCCTTTTAATAACAATCTCACAAACAAATGCTTCCTGGGGTTCAGTTACCACCATTGAAACAAAGAGGGTTACTATAACCATCATCATTTACCCCAGGAGCTTCATCATCCAAATCGGGTCAACCATTCCTTCCATGGGGGTTGAGCCCTAAGGTGCTATAGGGATTCGTTCCCACCATTCTCTTCAGAGTTCTCTTCAGCAGCCACCAAAGCCGCAGGGGGCTTGGCCAATTTCTTGAAGAGAAGGATCCTTGGAAAACAGGCATGGAAGGTCCAGCTAGAAACAATAGCTTTCATGCATCAACTCTCTGTCCAAGAAAGTCGTCTTCACCCCTGTGCACCAAGCCATTGGTGAGAGAGCACCCGCTACTCCAAATATCCTCTTTTTCCAGGTTGGAGAACCTGGTTACTACCTCCTTTTTTAGTGGAGGGGTGGCATGATACCCCAAAAATGGGTGTTTGGAGTAGAGGAAAACAATGGCCTAGCGCCAAGCGGTTTCCTCACTTCCGATCGATGGGCCCAAAAGGCTTTTTTTCGAAGGTTCCCCGCCGAATGGTGCAAACCCAAAATTTGAAGTCCGAAAGCTCAAGTGCCCTCCCACCAATTACCATGGAACCTGCCAGGGACCTTGTCGCTTAAAAGGAAAATGGTCCTCCATTTGCTTAAGTCCCCTGGAAAAAAATATATTTCCAGTAGTGATCGATTCCCTGTAAAACCAACAGGGGAAAATAACAAGATATTCTTAACCAAATGGAAGTGGTCCAAACCAGGACCCCCCCTCTCATTTGTGGAGGGTAAGTCCAGGAACTTGGGTGAGCTTTGTCCCAAATCGGGAAGCGACTGAATGGGTCTTCAGCTCAGGTCAACTCAAAAAAACGGGAGGCTTCGTCCCAGGTCTGCAGGCCCCCGTGAAAAACAAAAAGCAAGCGGGGATTCATACGGTGGATGGGGATCACATCATTCCGTTGGGTTTCTTTGGGTAGTGCGAAATGGATCTCGTCCATCCACGGCATAACCACCATAGCAAGGTCAACAAGGAAAACACCATAAGACAACAAGTGGGCTATATTCATAACAAGGTGAATGGTTGCGACATCCGCTTGGCACCACGACATGAAACCATGGTTGGAACCAGAACGCTTGTTGTTATTTCGTGGGGGAATCATCACTACAGGGACTCTCAAGTGATCTGAATCACTTGAAGGGGATACCCCCTATCCATCAACCAGGGGTTCTACTTCATCTTCCCACTATGTTCAACCCAAGGTCACCCTCACATGTTTGGCTTCCTTTTGGTGTCCTTTCAAATATGGGGTTCCCACGTGATCAGTGCCTGTTTCGCCCACTAAATTCTGGTTCTACGATGGTCATAAAGGATGACGTAGACGCTACGATGAACCCAATCAAATCAAGTAAGCACATGGGCGTGTGTCAAAATTACATGCCTTCAGGCTGGTTTCCTGTTCCCCTGCAAATCCATGAAGTCTTGGCAGATGCACATCTGGGGTGTCTCTTGATGAGCGATATTTTGTCTCAAGTATAAAAACTCGCTTTGGAGGAGACCCATGATTCACAAAACCACCTGCTAAGGACCCCTACTTAGTTGGATTGCTTTCCAGAATTCCGTGACCCCTGACTAACAGCTGGAGTTTCTCCGAAACACCCCAGAGTTCCCTACAAAGAATCCCAAGAAACGGGGGGGATCTGGTGAGACACACCCACATGAGCAGCGCCAAAACCCCATTTACTGCTGGTACCAAGATGGGTGTGCCTTTTTCTGCAGGGGCCCCCCATAATTGTGGCTTTCCTTCCGGTTTCTGTAAAAACCAACCAAAAAGGGGTGGGTGCCCATCCCCGCAGAAAACAGAGTTGCGGCCTCAGCACCTTCGGCATCTTCTCCGAGCGGGCTGGTTGCAGCCTTTTGCACCATGTTGCCCTCATGGCATGTCACTGTTACAGGTGATGTGCTGTTCCTCCAAGTAGAGAAGCGGCCAGCCTGTCTTTCACTCAGAGCAAGCTGCGCGGGAGCAGCGTCCAAACCAGGACTGGGCAGAGCAGCATAGCCCAAGCAGCCGCACGATGTTCGGGTGAGATAGCTTTCGCCACAACTTCTGCCTTCACAAAAGGACAGAGCCATATAAGCCTTACTATAACCCGTATATGGGTGCAGAGTCCCTTCTAAGGGCTGGCTGAAATGAAAACGAAAGAAAAACCCAAATCCATTTTGGGGGTAACCTAGAAAAGACGAGCCACCAGCAATATTTACTTTGGAGAAACATCTATTTCCCTAAAAGGCGGCTATGGGGTCTTCGCCAATCCTGAATTGCGGCTTGCGGAGGAGTCCCCTAAAAAACGACATGCCCATGTGGATGGACGAAATCCATTTCGCACCATCCGGCTTCTGATTTGATTCCTCTGCGTAAATACCAACGTTAACGGTATGGTTTCAACCCTGGTTTCATTTCGTGGTGTAGAATTCGTCCACCTCTCGACTCCCTTAGTGTTCAGTCCACTCAGGAAGCAACTGTATGACTTTTGCTTAACCTCAAATTGATGCCAGGTGAAGTGATTTGCCGAATCAAGTGATTTCGTCCATCCACAGTATGAAACCAGGAGTCGGAACCGACCAGGGTCTGGGCACCAAGTAAAAAACACAAAACAAAAATAAAACTCCGCGTGCCTCGGCGTCCCGCAGCTCCAGCAGAACGGCGCGGAGGTCCACCTGCCCAGTTCGGAGCCAGCTGGACCTTCGGGGGAATAGCCTTCACAAGTGGGTGGTTCTCTTTTTTTTTTTTTTTTCGGGGGTGGTTTCCCTCTACCCTAAATACACTAATGGGTTGTCCCAGTCATTTTCTACCTCTATTTGCTGGGTGACAAAAAGGGCTTGGGACCTAGGCATCTAGTAGTAATTGTTTCCACCCTGTAAGACCAACAGGGGAAAATAACATGCCTCCATTTGCTGAGAAGTCCCCGGAAAAAAATAAATAAATATGTGTGGGAGTGTTAGATTCCTTTTCAAACCACCAGGGGAAAATAAAACAAACTCTTAACCAAATGGAAGACAATAGATTGTCGTTCCATGTTTTTGGGGGTGGTTTTCCTCTACCTGGAGTCTCCACGACCCTTTGAAAATGGGGTCATTCCCCAGGGGTTATGACCCCTTTTTCTAGGGGTCATGGAGACTCTAGGTACCCTTAAAAATTGGTTTGCAGCCCAAAATTATAGTGTGTTTGTCCATGTCATAAGGGTAGTTTGAGGGTCCAGGCAATAAAAGGTTGCCCTCGCTTGCACTAAGACTATGCCACCTGACAAGGGAGGGTAGGCTGTACTCCCTAAACGGCAAAAGTCATGTCAGTTCGATTCGCTTCCAAGTGAGCAACAGCTGCGAATCAACTGCAATGACGAGCAGGTGGCAAGAGAGGGGGCTACCATGACCATGGGGGGGCCTAGAACATGTTGGTCTTTGCAAAGTGATTAATGGCTTTGGAACGACCAGCTCCGATTGTTTTTGTTCCGCGTCCCCGAAACGAGGCGCGGTTCGACAGCTTCTTTGGGGGGTCAAAAAGCTGTAAAGAGTCAATATGATGAAGGGCTAGGGAACTCCTTGAGTACCTACAGGTAAATGGAAACTACGACTAGGTCCTCCAGTAGAGAGGATAGAATAAGGGTACCAACTATTTGTTCTGTCTATTTTAGTAGGGGAAGCCTCCCCCAAAAAAAGGATTCAAGAGCACTACTGGGGAACCTAGATTGGGCAAGGTGCCGATGTTGATTCCAATCGTGTGTGTTTTTGGCGGGGCCGAAAGGCTTTTTCAAATCGGCCCGCGGCTTCTCGCGGCTGAGCCTTGCAACCTGTGACTCGTTCCGGGCAAAGGCCTAGGGAAAGCAAATGTGGCCAGGACTAATGTGCTTCCCAAAGGTCCGATTTAAACCTGGGCTGCCCGTTTTCAGATCCCCCACTAAAAGCGACTAGCCCGCCAAAAGTTAACTACCACTAAACTAAACACTAAAAAGCCAAAAAGCTAAAAGGCTAAGGAACCGGATGGCTGGGAGCCACCAAGAAACATCAAACCCAAAAGAAGAACTCAATTTAAAGCTCACCCAAGTGATGTATAAACCAGCCTGACATATGGAGGTTGGTGGGATCAGGATCCAGAACAGTTGCAGAGGGTTCCAGGCTACTCCAAAAACCCCATCGTCACAAGGCGAGCGCGCCGGTCTCTACACAAGGTATCCACTGTAGCTCTCACTTGAGTGGATGGGTCAATCAAAGTCCTAACTTTTTGCTTACCACTTGTTTGGGGTGTGGCTCAAAATTAAAGAGCTGGATTCTGCAGGATTTCGTCTTTCCTTCCATTTACCAAGAGACCACTTTGGGGTCTTGGGGATTCACACCAAAAAGGGCCTGACCTCACACCAAATGGTAACACCAAAAATGGAACCCAAAAAGTTACACACCAAAAAACACACACTTTTTGGGTTACCAATTTTGGGTTTTTGAGCCTCACACCAAATGGCAACCCCCAAAAGTGCCTCACGTCCACCTCCTCGGGCTTTCTCCTTGCCGCCCTCGCCCATAAACATGGGCCCCGTAAACCCAAGCGCCTTGCCGCGCGCCATGGCGCAAAGAGGGGACCATGACACCGACAGCTCACTTCCGCTCTGGGGCTCAAAATGGCCGTCGAAGTGTGTGAAGCCTGGAAGTGAGGATCAAAGTAAGTTTTGGGCGAGCAAATGGGCTGGCAGATTCATGGGATTCAGAAGTTGGCGTGTGAGACATCAAATCTCGACATCGGCCCGAGGGCAGAGGTAGGGAGAAGCTTTCCCCACAAATCAGAGGACCATCTCAAAGGGCTGGTGCTTGAAGAACACATTTGTCGCGCAGGCTTGATATAAGCGGCAACATGCTCACAAACATGGCTCTCCCATGCTCCGCAACCCCATTCTAATTATTTAGACGTATGCGGTGTATACTTTCTTCCAGCTCATGGAAGTGGCTACGGGGCAAGTCCATTCGGCAGTCGGCTTCCTTGTGGCCAGGGTGTTGATTCATGTCGCGACATCGGGTGTCCTGAACTTGGGGTATCGATGATCCCTTTTTGAATGGTATAGAAGGGAAACTTCAACGACACCAAGCATGTTGGATCCGATTCCCAATTGCGGGGGGGTGCGATTCTGGATTGAGCTGACCGATTGTGGCTTGAACTTGAGCCAATCGACTGGCTGCAGCAGAAACCTGCAGCACAGGTAGCCAGCCACTTCTTGTCTACCACACAGATGGTCTTCCCCAAAACTGGGCTGTCCGTATTCAGATTCCCTGCTAAAAGTCAGCACCATTTAGTGGGTTGAATGGAAATCCGACCTAAAAAGCTAAAAGGCTCAGGAATCTGACGGCTGCAAACCACCAAGAAATGTGTAGAGTCCATGAACTCAAAAGTGAGGCCCGTTTAACTACTGTGGCGGCAACTGTGTTTCACTGTCAACGCCCATGACTAGTCCTTTTCCTTGCTGGTGCGATAGGGAATGTGGGAATGAACCCAGGCGTTGGTCCCCTTAAACTTTATTAAAGGAAACCACCAGTTGGATGGTTTTTCTAGGGGTCATGAGTCATTTCTCATGCCCTGCATCTCTCGCACCGAAGCCAAGCTTCAAAGCAGGGAGTTCTCGAACAGGTCCCATGAATGAAAGCGACACCCTCAATCGCGGCTGCTCTCAAGACCCGACCATGGGGTCGTTGTTTTTTTTCTTTGGGGGGGGGGGGGAATTACGTTGAAACCTATGGGGTTCAGTTCCCACCACATTTAGTCAAAGGGATTCATATAACCACCATCATCTACCTAATTTCACCACCCAAATTGGGTCAGCCATTCTTTTAATGGGGGTTGAACCCTAGGGATGTGTGTAATTTGTGTCAGGCGCCGAATATTCTCACAGAGCCTTAACGGTCCTGAATGCGAAGCATCACGCAATCACGCCTGGCGAGAGGTGATGCTCGGCGTTCCATTGCCCCTGCCCCACCCTCCAGCCCCCCTCCACGCCGGTTTTCGAAACACCGAGTCGGACCAAGTCGGCTCTCGGGCGTCAAAGCGAAACCGCCGTTTCATGTTGCGCGAGATTCTTTTGGCCCAAGTGAGTACCCTACTTGGGTGGTTGGCCAAATGAGTAAGTGGTTAGTAACCTGGCGGGGTAGAACCTACTTACAACCAGGCAAACTCCACTTCGGGGACTTACAAGCTTATAACCAACTTGCCCCCATTCAAAGACTTGCCCCTTGAGTAACCCAACTTGGATGATGAGTTACTAAATATGAACCACCTTTGCTTCAATGGTGGTAACTGAACCCCAGGTGGCATGGGTCAAAGTTAAACCACCAGACACCCTTTGGTCCTTTCCATTTGCCAGTGCACCTCGCTCCTTTTTGGGTACCTCTTCATGGCCGAGCCAGTCCAACATGAAGTACTTCTGGGTCGTCTAGGATCTGTGCAAGATGAACATCTATACTTAGATGGTCAAGTGAGTCGCAATCAAAACCTGGTACTAAAATGGTCCACCCAGAACCATGTAAAGAATTAAGAAGGCGGCCGCAGCTATTTATGGTTGGGATCGTCCCTTACTAACCTTCATCTACCCAGGTTTTGATTGTGGCTCAAGTGGGTAGCAACCCTGGTTGTAACCCACTTAGCATTTCTCAGTCCCCTCTCACCCGGGTTACTAACCATTTAGGTAAGTCCAAGACCATCTAAGGAACGGATTGAATTCTTGGAATGTCCGCGTTGCATGTACCATGTGGTTCCGAGCTTCGGCACGTGAGACATGTCGGGGATGCCCCCGAGTCCGAGGCACTATCCTCGCCCTCTCAAAAGAAAGAATCAGGGCATCGGTTGCTGAATGAAAGCTGTCCTGCTTTCCTTTTCTCGGAAACCCCGTTCTGGAGGAGGGCTGTTGCCCATTTTTCAGGAGCGGTATCCTGTCAATCCCTGTTCTCCACAAACACTACAGGAACCGCGTTTGAGAACCTGTAAGGGAACAAACTACAAGAAACCACAGAAAACAGTGTGTGTGTGTGTGTGTGTCTGTGTTTTTTTGAGGGCACCTTTCCTTTTTGGGGAGCATGTATTGCATCTGGGTGCTCACCATATGGGTCTGTCTTTTTTAGGGGACGCAACAAACAGGTTTGCCAGTCAGTTCCCCTGTAACACCAACCAAAAAGGGGCTCCCATTCCAAACAAGACATACCCATACCCCCATTTGCTTAAGTCCCTTCGAAAGAATAAGCATATTTCCAGTAGTGATAGATTCCCTTGAAAACCAACAGGGGGAAACAAGCTAATATTATTAACCAAATGAAAGCATATCCTACGCATTTCACCTTCACAATTTTGAGGCACACCTGGCCCCTGAGCTGCGTGTTCTCCTGGCTCGGAAGGTTGCTCTGTGGATGGTTGCTCTGGAATGATGATTTCCTTGTGGATGGTTGCGAAATCCACTCAGGCACCATCTAAGACCTGGCTTTTGATGATTCCCTGTAAATACCAAGAAAGAATGTTGCCCATGGTTTCTTAGGTGGTGCAGGATTCTGTCCATCCACAGTACCAACAGACAACGGCTTCAAAAGTGGTTTCGAAGTGGTGCGAAATGGATTTCGTCCATCCACAATATCACGCTTCACCTACAGGAGTGTCTGGAAGGCTGAACCCCTGACAAGTTGAGCGATCAATTCGTGCAGTTTAGTCGCGGAGAAAAAAAACATACCCCGACCCTTTAGGAACTTTATGAGTCTGGGTCAAAAAATAATTAAGTACCCAACATGGAACCCCGGTAAAAGGAAACGAAGACTAAACCCCGCGGTTTTCTGATGGGTTAAGTTTCACCCATATGACTTTGTGCCCGCAAGGGCGGCCCCCCAAAACGGAGTTTCCTCTACGGGCGTGCTTGTTTTTTTTCTTTCCGGGGGTCCAGGTCAACAGGGATCCTTACATGAAATTCCTGAGCATTGCAACTTGCAAATGGTGGTTTCCAACTTTATCTTGGTGGAGAAAAAAGGCCATGTTTCAACTGGTTGCAAAATGGAGATCTTTTGAGGGGCCCTGGTCAAGCTGCAGGCCAGAAATCTACCAAAGAGTTAAAGTCTAAAGACTGCGGGCCTGCCTCTTTGTCAACTAGTCCTGAGGGGAACCGACCTGTCACGAGCAGCGATTCTTGCTGCACTATAGCAAACTGAAGGAACATGGGTATGCCATTTGTTTAGGGTACCTTTTTGTCGTGGTTTTAAGACGAAACCACAAGACAACCACCCGTTCTGGGTGTCAACTGAAAACAGACACACCCACATGGCTGGTTGGCTACTATACACTGCACCTGGATTCACCGTTCGGGGATGACATTGCAGGAGAGGGAAAAGGAGACGCAAGCGCCGACACCCCATGAACTGAGCGGGGATGCTGGCAGTTGCCGCAAGCGCGGCGTCTGTCACCCAAATGCTCCACAATCCTCCGCACAGTTCGAACCCCAAATCACCCAGCCTGATTCCGTGGCAAACGAAGTCTTCATTGAATTGAATAGTGGCAAGCTCACATGAAAAGCAACCAGGCTGGGCTGAATTGACATGCAAAGCATCCACTGGTTGATCGAACCGACCGCGTTTTGCGCGCGCACCGCCTCTATGAGTATAGTAGAAGTGTACCCGTTGGTTCTTTACTTTGAGCCCCACTCACAAACGAGGCGAGTTGTGCTTTTTCCTTTTTCTTGCCTCCCAAAGTTTTTATTTGTTGGAGATTTAGTGGAAAACCCACCTTGATTTCCCAAAAAGCAAAAGTCTAAAGGTCCGTTGCCCAATAGTCAAGAATGGAACCCGTTCAATTCGTCTCTTCATTCTGTCAACTGAGCCTTTGGTCAACAGCTTGGGGCTCTCCAACGGTTGTTCGCGAAATGGCTGGAATGTCCAGATTTAACCCCGAACCTCGCAGTGGTTGTAGGCAAGAGTTACTGCAGAAGGTAGCCAAAGGGACGTCATCATATAAGTATCCAGCTGGGGGTGACCCAGGTTTTAGTCCTTGGTTCTAAACCAAGGTGTCATTTTGGGTACCATATTTTTCAGCCACAGCCCAATGGACACCTCTTTGACTCAGTTGCAAAGGACCCAGCACCAAAAGATAAAAACCGGATGGCTGGGAACCACCAACACCTCAGTTGTTCAGTGACCCTGGAAAAAAAAAAACGAGAACCCTTTTTTGGGACGACCATTTTAGTGGGGCAGCCACGAAACAGAAAGTTGGAAAAAAATTGGAGCCTCTGGACAACTGAGACACAAGGATCGCCCGTCACCTTCGAACGCTCACCCGCGCGCGCGCTCGATCCGTCTCACCCAGCTTCCGCAAAGCCGTCGGTCAGCGGTGCCTGGCGGGGCTGGCGTCAAATTCGGCCCTCGGAGTTGACGAGTCGCTTGGATGAAGCCGACCGGGCGAGGCTGTTGTGGAGTTGGTACCAAATTTTGGGGTTGGTTTAAAGTAAAACCAAAAGGAAAACCGACATCCATGACTTTTGGAGTTGGAAATTACCCTTTCTGCGCTTAGTTTAAGGGGAAACCAACTGGAAAACCGCACGAAACCCATTTTGGGGGTCTCGTCAAAATAAAAAAAGAGGTGAGTAGGTTCTAAGGAGCTGCAGGGCCCTAGAAACCTGCGACATTCAAACTGGTTGCTCGGTTCTGACGCAGACCGTCCTTGGACTTTTGCAAGCCGTCTGACTGAAAATGTTCAGAACCAACAAAAACCAAGAACCACAACACATACCAACAAGACTGGAGTAACTTCTCTTCATAGTTGGAACCCACTTATCAAGTTGCCTGAACATCCAAGAGCCAGGAACAAGAAGCAGCTGCTTTTGGAAAATCAAGTGAGGGCAGGCAACGTCGGGCGGACTCGCAAACAGAACCTAGATGACATCAGCAATATGTAGGGTCGCATGGGTGTGTGGATTCTTGGAGAGTGCCCTTTTCAGGTTGGTTTCAAGGGAAACCAACAGGAAAGCCGAAATCCATGTGTAATCCCTAGTTTGACGCAAATCCTGAGATTTTGTTGGGGACGGTCTAAACGGCAAACAACAGAAACACCACCGATTTCTGACCAGCATCCCTCAACCGACTTGTTTGCTTTTCTCCATGTCGGAAGTCAACACAACTAGGTCCAGTGGAGAGGTAAAAATAAGGGTACCAACTTTTTTCTGCAGCGGGGAACCCGCCCCCCCCAAAAAGAAACGGTAAAAGTTGGCACCAATTGCTGGGGGACCTAGACAAAGAGCTGTGGTTGGGGGGTGGGAACGTCCCCTTTAAGACAACCCGAATCAAAGTCGCCGCGCCCCCAGATTTTCTACCCCCCCCGTGCCTCAGACTCGGGCTCCTCGGCTAGCTTGCCTCAGAAGCCACACTCCCAAATTTAGGGGAAACCAATCACTCAAAGGGACTCCCAAACACACCTTTCTTCGGAAAGACCAACTCGCTTCCTGAGTGGATTGGCCAAAACAAATCCATGTTTTTGTTTTTTGCCACTAAAATGGTCTCAAAAAGTTTCAAGTCGAACTCAGGACTGGGCTCGAGACACCAAGTTAAGAAAAGACACAGTCCCTGGTGGTGGCCTTTCTTTCTATTTCCCCTGAAAGCTTCGGAGTCGAGAGGTTAAATAAGCTCAGTGCTTCAGAGCGGCGTTCGCTGTCGGGTTCCGGAAAATTTCGCTGTCGGGACGCCACCTACCTGGAGTCTCCATGACCCTTTAAAAATGGGTCAACGACCCCATTATTTTGGGTAATGACCCCATTTTTTAAGGGTCATGGAGACTTTTCTGTTTGATGTCAAACCTTAACCCTTCTAGGTCCTCCAGTGGAGAGGTTACAATAAGGGTACCATCTTTTCTGTACTCTATTTTAGTAGGGAAACCTTCCCCCCCAAGAAGAAACGGTAAAAGGGCACCACCAAAAAAACTAGCCTTGTTGCTCAAGCTGCGCGCATCGCGCATCGCGTGGGCTTTTTGGACTTTCGCGCACCTGCAGGTTCAGACACATTTTCGGCCTCGCTCGGCACACCAAGAGATCAGGGGCCGCGGTTGACTCTGTGCTGGTCCAGCTGGTTGAGCAACAACATCTCTCTCGTCATTCGACGTTGCGTCTGCAAGTGGGAACACGTGTCAAGAACAGAAATGCGGGATTTGGAGGATTGACCAGGCAAGTCCACGGCACATATGACCCATTCTCTCCGAGCACAGGTTTAGGCATGACCGCGCCGGAGGCGCAGATTGAATTCTTGCTTTTGCTTGCAGGTGCGTCGCATTGACACGTCGTTTTGATACATGCCGTCCAAAACATGGAAAAACATGGAAACAGGCAAGTCCAAGCTTGTTCACCAACATGGGTCCCCTCAAAAACGAGTGGTGTCCTTTGGTTTCCCTTAAAACGCCAACCACTTTTCCGCTTTTCCGATGCCAGCCATGCTCAGCGTTAGGCAGAGCATGTCTGAAGCTTAAAATCACCAACCAGAAACAAGGCACCATTTTGAGAATCCCAACTCGTTCAGGACTTCAGGGAAAGCTTCAGGATTGAAATTCTTTGAGGATCGTCTACGCTTTTTGTTGCTCGGTTGCTCAGTTTGGGCCCGCAAATACTTCCGGTCCTTTTGGGGGCACTCGAAAGATGGACCAGAAAAGGGAAACCAAAAGGTCCCCCATACTGTGGATGGACAAAATCCTGCACCACCAAAGAAACCCTGACATGATGATTCCCCTGTAAATACCAACAAAGAATGGTTTCCCATGGTTTTTAGGTGGTGCGAACGGATTCTGTCCATCCACAGTATTCATCAACGGTTGATTTCTCCAGGGTCAGCATTACATCTTTCACACCCAAGCGCGGCCAAAAACCGAGGGGAAGCTTCCAAATGTGCTAACTGGATTCGTATTCGTACGCCAAGATTTGTTTCTTTCTCTCTGAGAGTAGTTCCCAAATACAAGGGTTCCAGTGTGCCCCAAGCTGAAACCCAGGGGTGATTCATTCCCCAGCAGGACAAGCCCTGGGTTTGAGTCTATTTTGAGTCTTAAAATGAAACCTGGCTCCCTCCAATGGTCTGATTCCCCACATTTCACCCAGGGAGAAGCACCCCCCTGGGTCAAGTTCGGAAACCCAAGCACAAAACCAATATTAACCAGCTGCAAAGCGAAGTTGGACACCGGATCCCTCAAAACTCGAGCCATACTGTGGATGGACGAAATCCATTTCGCACCACGTTGAAACCATGGTTGAAACCAGCACGTTTATTGGCATTTATAGGGGAATCACCAATCCAGGGTTTCTTAGGTGGTGCGAACGGATTTTGTTCATCCACAGTAGGACTTCTAGGTCTCAAGCCCAGCCGTTCCAGGGGGAGGCTCAGGATGCCCGAAGTCTGCTTCGACTTGTCCTAAGTGCACCGGGCTCAGGATTTCCATTCGGCGTGGCGCAAAATCGGAAACTCGGATCGCCCGCCGCCCCCCCCCACCCCGTATGGTGGACACTCAGGGTCTACTTTGCAACCTCCTTCTTTTAGGGTATTGGTTTGTTAGGGATTGATTGCAAAATACCACCCACCCACCCACCCACCCACCCACCCACCCCGCGCAAATGGACCGGCTTGCTTGCGTCTCCCGGGGGAACAAACCACCACAACAAAAAGTTTGTTGTGTATGTCAAGCTTTGCTGCCTTGTCTAAGCATGGTTAGCTTACATGTAAGCTATATATCCAGAATATATCTGACATTAGCCAAACACCAGTCAGAACATATGTGTAGCAGACCTTGCATAGTTCCAGAATTGATGAAGACAAAAGCCGTTTCATGTGACCCCCGGAGCAAGTCAAATCTTGTGGTTTTTGTAGTGCCCACCAAACATCCAAAAGCTTTGAGTTGTTCTTTTTTGTTTAAAGGAGAAACAAAACACACATCAGACGCTATGCCCGCCGAGCAGGTAAGGGTCTGCTTGTTTGGAAAACCCGATGTGTTCGGAATGGCTTCAAAAAACTGGTCTTCCAAGCAAATAGAAAAGCACAGTTTCAGACCCTGTGCCCCGGACTCAGCAAGTCAGGTTGGAAATTCTGGTTCTTCTACTGATAGCTTCCCCATTCTTTTCCAGGGATCCTTTCCAGAAAACCACCAAAAACCTTGGGAAAACGGATCCGGCTGTTGAAAAGAACGATGATTGAAAAGAATGGACAAGGAACCAACCCCTAGAGTTTCGCTGGCTGTTGGGAACCCAAAAATGCCGAGAAAGCCTCAAGTGCTCAAATAGAAACAAACTTATGTCCAGGCCCGAGCAAGTTTGGGTCTAAACCTCAACAGAAGATCACACACTGATATATGAACTCCTGGTATGAGAATCTAGAGTTGACTACTGAGGGGCTTATGGTCGAAGGTCCCAATCAAACCTGTTTCTAGTCTTCCAAGTGCAGGAAAAAAGGCTCACGCCGGAGAAAAAAAAAACATTTCTGTGGACGAAGTCCTAGAGTCCTCCCTTCCCAATTGTAGGGGGGAAAAAGCGTCGACCTCCTTAGTTTGACTCATGTGAAACTGTCCACTTGCAAAATCCACTTGACCATCCAGAATCTTGAAGGACTGAAGCCACAACACTTCCCTGCGAGCAAGGGCATGTTCGTCCAAGGCAGGGGGAAGTTTGCTGCTGGGTCTTGGAGTTTGCTCACTTGCGCACATCTTGGCTTCATGAACTACAATAAGGGACGCCCCCGGAAAGGAGCCTTCATGGGCCAAGGTTCGCAGAAAGCCCGTCAGAGGTCGATGGATTGGTTTGAGCAACCTCAATGAGAACACCATTGGTTTGGGCAACCCAGAAATACCCACGTGCATAGCCCTTGAACACCCAAATGGAGGCCTCAAAACAGGCACACTCAACGAAGAAACACGTGAAAGGGTGACCTACCAAAACGTGGCAAGACTGTGGGATCCACCGGACCATGAAATCTTATGTGAACTTTGGACCATTTTTGGAGGACCCTGCTAGTGAGAGGAAGCCCCTAAGATACTGGATGGGCAAAATACTGCACCACATAAGAAACCATGCAAAACCAGGTTTTTGGCTTTTGCAGGGGTCGCATCATTTCGGGGTTTCTTGGGTGGTGCCTAAGCGGATTTCATCCATCCACAGCAGTTCATTCCTTACCAAACGGGGAACAACCCCCTGATTAGCACGGTCCTCCGGGTTTGTCTGACGTGACAGGTTGCGGAGGGCAAACCACTGGCAATACGCCTTTCCCAGAATTGAACGGACGTCCATAGGCGTCCTTTTCGGGGAAATAGGTAGATGATTAAACCACCAGGTAAACCAGGGCCATCTATTTTTCGACCAAAACAAACAAAAAGGACACCTATACGGACGTTTTCTCCTTGAAGACGCCCACGATGGAATCGCTGTGCGAGAAGAAGGTGTCCTGCCAGGGCGGCGAGACCTGCAAAACACCTTGGGCCAATGATGGGAATGCTGACCCGATACTATGAATGAACAAAATCCGTTCGCACCACCTAAGAAACCCTGGAATGACGATTCTCCTGTTTTTTTTTGTTTTTTTTTCCCCCGTTGTTTCAAAGTGGTGCAGGCTATCGTCCATCCACAGTATTAATCAAACACCTAAAAACAACTAACACCTCAAAACAATGGCAGGGAACCACCAGAGGAACCGGGCCTTCTCAACGCACTTCCTTGGATGGGCTGAACAAATTCTCTCTGGCTGATAATGTTGACCCCATATAATTAATCAACCCTCTTTATTGATATGGGGGGCCAAAACCAGGGACACCATGATATTAATAAACAGGGGTTGATTAGTATGGGGTCAACATTAACCCGCAACCCCCGGGCCTTACAGACTCCGTCTGGGGGGGAGCTGTGTCTTTTTGAGGGTACCATTTTTAGGGTTGGGTGTAAAAGGAAATCAAAGAGAAACCACCAATTTGGGGTTGCCCTATTTTGAGACAACCCCGGGGGGCGGTTCATCCGGTTGGGTGTAAAAGGAAATCAAAGAGAAACCACCAATTTGGGGTTGCCCTATTTTGAGACAACCCCGGGGGGCGGTTCATCCCCAAAACACGTGGCTTTTTGAGCGACGAAAACACCAGGCAAACCACAACCATCAAACGGGCCACAAAGTCGGACCCGGCTGATATAGACCTAAGATGAAGTGAATATATGGCTTCCCCAATTCATCAACCCCATCTAGGTCCTCCAGTTGAGAGGTTAGAATAAGGGTACCCTTTTCTCCGTAGTCTATTTTAGTAGGGGAACCCTCCCCCAAAAAAGAAAGGGGATAGGGCACTGGGGGACCTCGCCATTTTTGTTGGAATAAGATGGGTTCAACTTTCTGGGTACGAGGCTCCCTTTGATTCAATCGATGAGTTTCTCCTGAGGTATCCCTTTACCAACAGGTGTTGATTAGCTGCAGAAATTGGCGTCAAGTGATCAACCATGGGGATACCACGTCCGTTCTGGGTCCGAGTTTGGTCCCATTGAAACCAACCAAACCACTAGGCTTTACATACCAAACCCGCGGGATTGACATACTGCCAAGTTTCGATCGATCATTGGTCTTCGGCATGAGTTCTATGTCCGCCGCAGAGCGCAAGTGCTGCGACATTGCGATTTGGCGATTGCACGGATGTTCCATGTTAAAGCGGGGCTCCCAACTCAATTCCGTGATGGAAAACAGCCCTTGCTGTGTGTGATAAGCGCATGGGCCGTCCCTTCTGTGGATGAAACAAATCCTACACCTGCCAGGTGGTGTATCCCAGCGACAGTTTTCATAAGGGCATGGGTCAAAATTAAATCACCAGGGGACCGCATGTTTTTTGTCCTTGTTAACCATTTAGCAGGGTTCCATTTTGGGTACCTATTTTTTACCCACACCCACAAGGCTTCATCCATTCAAACTGGTGTAGAGGACTCCCTTTGCACGGGATCTTCAAAGCCGCGTTTCTGAAAGAAATGAATGTAGCCCCTGTCCTCCAGCGGCCATGGAAAAAACTGGCCTTTCAAATTGGATGTGGTTTGTTCTCTTTCAAGGGAAGGCTCTCCAGAGGAAAGTTGAACAAAGAAAGCACAACCTACTCTGGAGGCTCCTGCGTGTTGACCCCAAGCCAGCTTTGGATGTTCGATGGATTAAAACTACGATCTTCTTTGCTGGTGTAGAAGGATCCATGGATTTCGCTTAAAGACAACAAACAACAACACACAACAGCAAACAACAACAAACAACAAACAACAAAACAACGACATAACAAAACAGCAAAACACAAGAAAAAGCAAACAACAACAAAAAACAAACAAACAAACAAACAAACAAACAAACAAACAAACAAACAAACAAACAAACAAACAAACAAACAAACAAACACACAAAACAATAAATATTTGGCCATGGGTCGAAATCCAAATCGTACTCCCAGTCAACATCCCAATCCCAACTAAAATGGGGTCTAAAATGGGTGGTGCACCTACCCCAAAATGGTACCATTGGTTTTGACCAACTGCCGTTTCCTTCGGAAGGAATCGCGATCCTTCGTGTGTTCTTTGAGGGCGGTCTTCCTTTGTTTTATTTCTGTTCCTTTCATGCGGGAAACACACACCAACTGATCTATTTTGGCGTTGAAGGGGGAGCAACAATTTAAATTTTAGTAGTTAAGTGGGGATTTCCCACTAAACCACAATAGGCAAAAATGCAAAATGTTTCCCAACAACAATCATGTGATGGTCCTTTCCCACAAAACCAGCGAAATGTCCTCAAAAACACACACAGCTTCCCGGGAAAAAGGAAACCACCGGTTCCTGCCGGGGAGCTTCCAATCCAAATGGCCCTTGACCGGGACTGTGTCAACATCTAACCCAGAAGTTGGTTTAAAAAACGAAACAAAAAAGAAAGAGACGAGAAATCCCTTGCGCTGCGATCCTTCAAGGAGATGACCACACACTGAAAGTTCATCTTTTTCAGATAGTTCACGAGCGAGTTGGTGTTCTTCTTGTCGAACCTCGGGAGGAAAACAAACTGGGCACAGGCCCAACGAAAAACTCGCTAAAAGGACCAGGGGTTTGCTTTGCGTTTTTTTTTTTTCCCCTGCCACTTTTACGCATCTAATTTCGATCCATTCTCTGGATGGACAACATCCTGCAACTCATGATAATGATTCATCCCAGAATTCATAAGAACTCAGCCGGTGCAGGATATCGTCCATCCACAGTAGGCACTGTTTTACATGCAGGTCCATTCTTCTTGTGGCATACTGTAGTCGGACTCGTGCGTACGGTTGGGTTGACCCCCGGGTTGGAAATGACACTTAATATCACGGAAACTCTCACAACTGCCTCCCTGCAATTCGGAGAATCTGACAAAAGTGCCGTCAAGAGCTGACAAGAAACAAGTGGCAAACAACAGCAACATATGTTCCTCAATCTTCTGAACGCACAAGAGCAAAACTCATCAACTGAAAATTAATTACCTGGTAAATCACGTTCATCATCGGTGAGCTCATGTTACCCCAAAACGACCTCAATGATATGCGTGTTATGTTTGATTCGAGTTAATCAACCCGGCAGAGTAATAGCGGGGTATTCTGCCACAAGTTGAGAATGGAACACCCGTCCCCATTCATCAACCAGAGGTTCATGAAGCTGGGGATTGGTATGACTTGTTGGCAACCCGGGGCACACACATACACATGTGTGTGTGTGTATGTGTCTGTGCAACCAACTTTTCAAATTGGCCATCACCCCAGGAGTATAAGGAAACTACACTAGCACTAGTTGCCCCAATTCTAGTCCATGAACCGATGCTATGGCCGAAACCAACGTTGCGAGTGAGTTGAACATCCAACTACCAAACAGGCTATAAACCATTGTCGAGCAGTTCCCTTTGCCAGACTTCGACCTGCCACACAAACGCAAAATTATGCTGAGAGGAATAATTCAACACAGCGCAAAAAGGCTTAGTTGAAGTCGGCAATGCTATTTAAAAAGATGGCTTACTCCCCTGCAGCTGCATTTGTCACATAATTAGAAACCAGAATGGACTGTTTTGGGGACCCGTTGTCGATGATGAAGCTCCTTAGGTAATGTTGACCCAGGATTCATAAATCCGTCCCATTTTAAGGGGGGTGTTCCCTCCAAATGTGATGAATCCCCACTAAAAGGGGATCTACTAACCAACCAGGAGTTTATCAATCCGGGTTAACATTAAATCAAGGTGGTGAAATATTGTCCCCGTTGTTTTAATGGTGGTAACTGACCCCCAGGGCATGGCTTCTAAGGCAACTGACCCCACGCCAAGGCCAAAACCATTTCTTCGATGCGATTCGCGACATGTCTGAGACCTCCGGCGGCGCGTCCACCTCGTCCAGGATCATGAAGGGAGGCGGTTGGTATCTGGGACGCAGAAATGTATGTATCAGAACTTCCATTTGCGAATATGTCCCCTGGGAAAAATGAGAAAAAACAGATTCCAGTAGTAAACAATTACCTTGAAAACCAATAAGGGAAACAACACAAATTCCTAAGCACGCATGGAAGGACATGTATGCATCGGAAAGCACCCTCCATTCAGAGCTTAGAACTTCCGTTGAAAGTTGTTTTCCCCCGTTTGATGCGTAGGGTGGGCAAATTACTCAGCCCAGCGGATTGTGGCAAAACAAAGCGCCCGTCTCTTGTTGGTTCCTGCCAGAACATAGCAGCCCTCCCCAAATCGAGGAAAAACAAACGCGGAAGATCGCAGAAAACCAGCGCTGAAGTGGGACGCTCGCGTTTCCCAGAATCGGAAAGCTCGTGATTCCCCCAAACATCTCCCCTGAAGTTCAAACCAGCATCAAAACAATGGGGGTTAGTACAACTACAACACGTTCGGAAGGAATCTCATTAATTGGGTCATTGCCATGATTTTAACCCCAGCGTCTCCGTGTTCCTTTCCCAACCAGGTTCCAGGAAGCACCTGGCCAAATCCACCCCCGAAGATCTGCATCGATATTCCTACCAGAAAGTGGGTCCCCCAATTCCATTGATTTAGTCCCAAGGAAAATGGGTACGTGGAGATCTCCGGAACTCCAAGGGCCGATCCTCCGCCCGCTTTCCGAACCCTAAGAGTTGAAGTGGCTTAAATGGACACCGACTAAACCCAAGCCAAAAACCAAAGGGGATAGCTGGGAGCCACCAGGGATCAAAAACCCCTGCCCCCAGGGAGCTCACTCCGATCCCGGAAAAAAGTAGCAGGTTCCGAGAAAAAAAACGGGCGCTTTTCTTCTGGAGTCGCTCGAACCTCCAAAATCTGAACATGAGCTCTGGGGTAGCAGTTTGCTTGGCACCTCACTGCCCGAAAGGGGCCCAAAAAGGCCGAAGTTCACTTTTGCAACATGAACTTCCCACAGGGCTGTGGTTGAAATGCCCACTGTGATACAAGAAAAAGGTCCCCCAAAGGCTACCCCGCCATGTAAAGAGGGCATTCCAACTTGTATCACAGAAGTGGGGATAAACCCCGAGTGATCCCACAACCTTGTCCCCAAAAGCACCCAACATGCCCGAAATATAGCAAAGGGAACAAAGGAACCCCTCGAAAATCCCCATGGGTGGTTCATTTGCTTGCAACAGAGCTTCGGGTAAAAACCAGGAACGCAAGTTAGTAAGCCATTTCTGCAAAAGGAATCTGTGGATGCACAAAATCCTGCCACACCGAAGAATCCTTGATGATTCCCCTGTAAATGCAAGCAATGATTTCAACCAGTATTTCAAAGTGGTGCGAAATGGATTTCGCAACCATCCGCAGTATCTCCAAAACCTGCGAATAAGAACCGCATCCAAACCTTGCTGGTGCTCAGGGATGAGGGAATCAACCATGGGTCCCCTGAAAGGAAACCACCAGGGATGGTTTTTCGCGGTCATTCCTTCATGCCCTATCGCGCCACCAAGAAACCCAACTGATCTATACCTTTCGGTCCTCGAGTAGAGAGCTTAGAATAAGTTGGTACCAACTTTTCCTGTAGTCTGTTTTAGTAGGGGAACCATCTGCCAAAAAGTTGGTAAAAGGGCTACTGGAAAACCTAGTTTAGGAATCGGACCCCTTTCTGAGGAGAACCGAATCTCCCCCCAAAGAAGACACGGCAAACCGGGCACCTAGCCGGGGGACCTGGAAACGTTTTTTTTTCTCTTGAGAGCTGGAATCTTCAGCTTCCCTTTTCCCGATTGGGAGCTGAGCAACCCCAAAAGCATGCGCACGAAAAACCACGGAAGGCTGGGGTTGATTCCAATTCCACTCTTTTCAGCCATCGTTCTTTTCAAGAACCAGATCCATTTCCCGGGGTTTTTAAGGCGGTTTTCTAGAAAGATTTGGATCCCTGGGTTCAGAATGGAAATGGAAGTTACCCCTAGAAAGGCCTATGCCATGGCCTGCCCTTCCCCAAATTGCCACGCCGGGTCCCGGGTCCCGGGGTCCGGGCGAGTGCATCGCGAAGAGCAGCGCCATGGAAGCCATCCTCATTCAGATGCGCTTTTTTTCAGATGCGCAAGGTCTGATGTGGATGTGGGTCAAAAAGGTGTACCCAAAATGGTTTGCTGGTAAATGGAAACGTGGACCCATGATTTTCTAGGCCCTTGCTCATTTATATGTCGTTGTTTTCCCTTCCGGCCCCCTTGGGACAAGGTGTTGTTTTTTTTGTTTTGTTGGTTTCTTGTTTTTCCGGTTTAACGGCATTCCGTTTAAAACCAAGAGGGGGATTTGCATTTGGCTTTGGGAAATGACCACTGTGATACAACAGAAAGGGCCTAACCCCAAAAACTATTTTCTGAAATATAAAGGGGGATTCCAACTTGTATCACAGAAGTGGGGAGAAACCCCTTGATCCCACAACCCTGTCCTTGCTCATTTGGCCGTGGCTCAAACAACCGGAATTCCAAAATCTTGCCCTGGTAAGTGGAAACATGGGTACCAAAACCCGCGGTTTGCCCCCTCCTGTTTAATTTTGAGCCGCAGCCATTTATGTCGTTGTTTTCCCCTCCGGCCCTAGGACAAGGTGTGTGTTTCTTGGTTTAAAGGCATTCCGTTTAAAACCAGGGGGAAAAATACGAGCCTTGCTTGATTCCGTTTGATTAGGCTGTCCGTTTTCAGATCCCCTCAAAGTGAATAACTTGTGGGTTCCATTCGAAAACCCGACCAACTACAAGCAACCAAAAAACTACGGAACCGGATGGCTGGGAATTGCCAAGAGTTGACGACCTCCATTGATTGTTTCTTTCTGCTCCCTGTGGGAAAAAAGCAAACATGATGGATTTTCAGGAAACCAACAGGGGACACTAAGGCATATTCCAGAAGCACATGGAACTTTAAGTCCACCATAGAGCCATAGGTGGTCAACTCTTCCCTTCTATGGCTACTTGATCCAAAAATGTTCCTTGATTGGTACCGGGAAATCTAAGACTGAGATGACTACCCCAAATAAATACCAGAAGCTAATGTATAAGGGTTATGTGCTGCTTGGGGGGGTATAAGGGTTTTGAGCTGCTTAAGAGTAAAGCAAGCTGGAACATCTACATCATCCGTACACACCAATTCTTCTTTGATTGGTACCGGTATGTATCGGTGGGCGAGCGATTTGCAACCTCAGATTCCATCATCCCTGCCATTTTGCACCGCCTAAGACACCCTGGTTTCGGATTCCCCGACGTAAATACCAACAAAGGTTATGACGTTTCATTCCCATGGCGCAGAATGGATTTCGAGGACCCATCCACAGAACCTGGAGTCTCCACGACCCTTAAAAACTAGGGTCATTACCCCAAAATTTAGGGTCATGGACCCCTTTTTCCACGGGTTACAAGGAGACTCTAGGTATCACAAGTCGTTTGAAACCAAGTAAGCCCAAGGAACCAAGCCAACGCCCCAGAGGCCTTTTCACGGATACATTCCAAACTCAGCTGAGTGGATTGGCCCAAAAGAAAATCCGCGGCACTTTTGGTAAATCCGCATGGACTCCAAACCCAAAAAGGACGATTCAGAGAAGTTGGCAAAAAACAAACCGCCGGGACGACAGTAACCAAACTGTTGTTCTTCCGCCAAAACATGGTTGGACCCCCAAAAAGATGAAAGTCCACGAGCTCAGGAACTCAGACCATGTTCCAGTCTTATCACTTGCCCAAGCACATTCAATCTGCATTTTTTGTACAAGCACATTCAATCTGCATTCTATTTTACCAGCACATTCAATCTGCATTTGTGCAAGCACATTCAATCTGCATTTTTTACAAGCAAGCACATTCAATCTGCATGTTTTTACAAGCACATTCAATCTGCATGTTTTTACAAGCACATTCAATCTGCATTTTTTGCAAGCACATTCAATCTGATTTTTGTTGCAAGCACATTCAATCTGCATTTTTTTTAAAGCACATTCGATCTGCATTTTTTTACAAGCACATTCAATCTGCATTGTTTCCAACAAATTAAATCTGCACGTTTTACAAGCGCATTCAATCTGCACTTTTTTTACAAGCACATTCAATCTGCATTTTTTTACAAGCACATTCAATCTGCATTTTTTTGCAAGCACATTCAATCTTTATTTTTGTTTTTAAGATCATCCAAAAACCTGAAATAAGATCTGGATCCCCAAGTAGCGGATCTTTCTCAGCTTGTTTTACCCCCGAATCGGTGAGCTTGCTATAACATAGGCAGATATGGCCATGAGTCAAAAGCCCTTACCACCAGTGAACATCCGATTCAATCCAACCACTAAAATGGGTTCTAAAATGGGTGGTGAATTCACCTTCCAACCAAAATGGGATCCCATTGGTTTTGACCCACAGCCGTAGCACAGTGGGGTGGAACCCCCCTGCTTCCACAACGCCTCCGTGGGGTCCCCTCGGGCCGCAACGAGCGCTCACCGCCCGACAAAAGCTCCATGGGGAAGAACCTCAGGCAGAGTGTGACAAAGTTCCCATCGCATTTTGATTCTTTTGTGTTATTGTGGCACCAAGATACCATACAGAAAGGATAAACACTTGCCATAGACGTGTTCTTACTTGGGCTCAAGGTATCATGCCAATTTTTATCCTCGGATCTGGCAGAAAAGTGCTCCCTACAATCGGAGGAGGACCTCTATATAATCGATTTCCCGGTTTGCTTCGGGCAGATCCAATAGGGGTCAAGTTTTCAAACAGGCGGCCAAAAAATCAGAATGTCCAATGTCTGTGCCGGTGGTGCAACTGGAAATTATCAAGTCATTGTTGTAGCTTGCGCCCATTGGCGAGGTTGTCACATTGCTCAGTCAAAGTTGCCGACTCGCGTCTCAAACATAAAACACTCTTCTTCACAGCTTTCACTCTGAGTCTTTCTCGTTCGCGTGTGAAACTGGTAACCCCTGTCAGGCATCGTGATGCCACTATCATAATACAATATATGATACTGGCTGAGCATACCCAAGCTGTTTTGCTCCGCAAAACAGCGCAATCAAACCCTACGCTGGACCAACTTGATGCACAGCCCGTCTTGATTGGAATTTATAGAAGTGCCGTGCTGAGCATGTTTTTGTTTGGGGCATAACAAAAATGCGCAACAACGAAAACTACCAAACATGTCGAGTCGCTAGCAGGTCCAGGATAGCACTGTAGATTATTATTGGAAAAACCAATCAACGCCGGAAGGCAACGCACCCATGTGCCGATTCAAACAGATCAAATCCACTTGAACAAAGTGAGGCATCGGCACGCAAGCACGAAGCTTTTTCTCAATAATGTCTTCCTGTGGCTGGCTCATGAACCAGCCGCTGCCTGGTTCAAACAAGTGCCATCAGACTCCGATAAAACCGGTGTCCAATCTCGTGAGGTTGCTTATTGGTAGCAGCAACTCTCTCTGGAAAAAACGCAGGCGCCTGCCAAAGCAAGCAAGCCTGAAAGTCCAGAGAGAGCTAGGTGGGAATAGCTTTGAGCACTAAATGGTCGAGCTCTTCAATGGCCACCGTTTACGCAATCTCACTTGCACTTGCAGGCGGACAAAAGCGAGTGTCAATCCCCAGCAGAAATAGTGGAATACTCCTACGGCACTCTCTCATCCGCCACAATTCAGTACAAGGTCGCATGCTTGCTGGCAAGATCATATTTTGAAAAAGGTGTGATGGAATTCGTTCATGATATCAAGACAAAGCGCATAAGGCACACTCTCGAAGCATCTCTTCTTGCCAACACATGGCCTTACTGCAAAGGAGCGCGAAGCAGGATTCGTGCGCTCCTTGGGAGTGAAGATCGAGCAACCCCTGTTGCTCATGAAACTCGCCGTGGCCGAATCACACACTCAGGCCTCAGTTTGTGGCTCTGAACTTCACGCTTCTATCCTTCTTGCAGCGAGCTGATCGAATATATGTGGCTCAAAATTAAACGATCGGGGCAAACCGCAGGTTTTGGTCCACCGGTGGTTTGAGCCACAGCCATATCTCTGAAACGTTGACCGATTCTTTCACGGAGGCAGGGAGAGGCAGCAAACATGCAGGTTTTCTTTGACGCAGGCGAACCAGGACATTGCCCTGCTCGTTCTTATGGGCTGCCACTCGGATTCTCGTGAGACCCGTCTCAGGCAACTCGGGACAATTTAGAGGAAATAATTCTGAACATGACGTGTCGAGTCCATGGATTGTAAACAATCTGCCTTGACCCTGTGGATGGACAAAATCCATTTGGCACCAGCTAAGAAACCATGTTGGTACTTACTGCCGTCTATCAAAACCACTAAAAGCCGGTGAGCGCACTATTAATGGCAAACGCGCGCAGCTTGTCTTTGTTCATGCCATACCAACACAGAGGATTTAGCTGATCACACTTCTTGCAAATCAATGGTCTCGACAAACCAAGCAGCAAAGGACCATGAGAATGGCCAACAAACCTTGTGGAGTCAAAACAAAAACACCTGAAAGGGAACACCAAAGTTTCCAAAAGTCATTGAATTGTTGAAAGGCCAAGCCGCCAAGCCCCAGCCCCTCCCAAGAAATGCATGCCCAGCGGCAACCTGGTGCCAGAATGCAACCCAAAACCGCGCCACTTGGCAACTGCGTATTCAAGAGAATCACGGCCTGGCGTTCAACGCCGGCGCATCAACTCGCGGAGCCATGCAAGTTCTGGGCTAGCCCTAGGTGTTCGCCCACAAAGCATCTGCCAAACAGAAAACAATCGAGCAATCATCACAAACAGAATCCAAAGGAGCACTAATTGTGCTAAGAAAGCTATGAACAGCGAGTATACACTGCTTCAGGCAACACCAAGTACGCCACGAGTAGGTTGTTGCATTGTTGTGAGAAACATAGCAGGGTCCCTATGGACTTCCCAAACTAACAACAGACCAAGATGGTCCCCTGCTCAAAATAAGCAAAAACGGCTGATCCATCTTGCACTAGGTCCTCCAGTAGAGAGGCCGATTTTAGTAGGGGAATCCTCCCCAAAAAATAGGTAAAAGGGCACTACAGCCCACATCATCCAAGCAGTTCCGCAGTCGTTCACATCGTTTTCCTTTGAGTTGACCGTCTGCTTTGATTGATTGACTGCTTGAATCAAATCAAATCAATCTGGGCTGCCCTCAGATCCGTAAAGAAACGAACCGGCCACAGCCTCTCTCTCGCTAGCTTGAGCTCGTCCCAAAGCTCAGCGCTTCCTCCTCCAATGAGACGATCTTGTACAAGCGCACACGCGGAAGCTTGAATTTGCCTCAGCACGAGTAGCCAAGGCTCCATACCCATGCAGCAACAACAAGTCCCCAGTAAACATCTGAGTTCAATTCATTGGCCGGGTTGCCTGTTCCACTGAAATGAAAAGCCTCGTTTCAAAAGGTTACCAGGGCTGCTTATTTATCCCGCAAACAGTGGCACAGGCAAAGCATGTTCATTGGCCGAAGCACAGCAAAATCGGAAGAAGTGCTGGCTCAGGTTGTCAAACAGCTCCTTGGTGATGTGAAGGGCCAGCTCCTCCTTTTCTTGCCTCAAGATGATGGCTGATACGTACAGCACCTTCAGCTAGTCATATACACACATCCCACGAACAACTCTTGACACCACTCTACTGAGTGCACACATGTGCAAATGTAAATATATATATATATATATATATACATATATACATATATATATATATGCGTATATACCTCTATATATATATATGTATACCTATACATGTGTATATATATATATATGTATGCTCACACCCCCCCCCTTCAGGGCCTACCTTTCCACTTCAAAATGTACAAAATCCTCTTATGTTAAAGACAGGGGGTGTGAGCACATTTACGCAAGAAGTGTGCTGTTGTTGCACAATTGTGTGTGGGTGACACGTCTGTTGAATAACAACAGCGACGAGTTTATAAACTTTCAGGAAAGTTTATAAACTATGTCAAGGGTGTGACGGTTTCACTGCAACAAGGCAACACCTGGCAACACCTGGGCACCCTGGGGGAGGTTGAGAAGTCTGGGACAGGGGCCGGGGGGGGGGGGTGAGAAGTCTTGAGTCACACCTCACTGCCCTCCCCCAAGACTTCCACCCCCTCACCCCCCCTTCCCCTCCCCCCCCTTCAAGGATACCATGACCATGAAGACTTCCCAGGGTGTTGCCTTGTTGCCGGAAAACGCCAAACACTCAAGAAGGTTTATCAACTTTCCAGCAAGTTTATAAACCTTGTGTAGGCTTAATGCGTAGCAAATGGACTGTTGTTTGGGGAAAAAGTGTCGCTTGGGAAAAACTGCCTTCGGTCCAAGGGAACACAATCTGAGCAATTTCTGCAACACGCTGTGTTTTACAGCATCTTGTTGAATCTCTAATCCCTTGAAATTTCCATTTAGAAACACTTGTAACCTAGAATCTGGAGATCAGAACCCTCGAGCTGTCTAACGTTGGATTCTTCAAGCCTTATAATTTGGAGGCGGGAGTCCTCCAACGTGAATTCCTTTCCAGAGAGGATTTTACTCCGAATTGAATTGCAATGTTGAAGGAGGCAAAATGTTGCTTGGGAAATGAAATCATGAGTCCAAGGGAACACAATCTGAGCAATTTCTTCAAAACACTGCATTTTACAGCATTTTGTTGGAGAATCTGGAGATCAGAATCCTCGAAATGTCTAATGTTGGATTCTCCAAGCCTCATAATTTCTGGGAGTCCTCCAACATGTCCAAATATATACTCCTTCCAAATACTGCGAATTGAATTGGAATGTTGAAGAGAAAAATGTTGTTTGTGGGAAAAACTGCCTTCGGTCCAAGGGAACACAATCTGAGCAATTTCTGCAACACGCTGTGTTTTACAGCATCTTGTTGAATCTCTAATCCCTTGAAATTTCCATTTAGAAACACTTGTAACCTAGAATCTGGAGATCAGAACCCTCGAGCTGTCTAACGTTGGATTCTTCAAGCCTTATAATTTGGAGGCGGGAGTCCTCCAACGTGAATTCCTTTCCAGAGAGGATTTTACTCCGAATTGAATTGCAATGTTGAAGGAGGCAAAATGTTGCTTGGGAAATGAAATCATGAGTCCAAGGGAACACAATCTGAGCAATTTCTTCAAAACACTGCATTTTACAGCATTTTGTTGGAGAATCTGGAGATCAGAATCCTCGAAATGTCTAATGTTGGATTCTCCAAGCCTCATAATTTCTGGGAGTCCTCCAACATGTCCAAATATATATTCCTTCCAAATACTGCGAATTGAATTGGAATGTTGAAGAGAAAAAATGTTGTTTGTGGGAAAAACTGCCTTCGGTCCAAGGGAACACAATCTGAGCAATTTCTGCAACACGCTGTGTTTTACAGCATCTTGTTGAATCTCTAATCCCTTGAAATTTCCATTTAGAAACACTTGTAACCTAGAATCTGGAGATCAGAATCCTCGAGCTGTCTAACGTTGGATTCTTCAAGCCTTATAATTTGGAGGCGGGAGTTCTCCAAAAAGTCCAAATGCATATATATATAGATATATATATATATTCCTTTCCAACTAGGATTTTGCTCCGATTGGAATTTGAATATTGAATAGAATTTGGTAAGGACAGGAATACCTTTCCAAATAAAAAATAGCATTTCAGTAGGGTTTAAAAATACTTTAATGCAGACAGATTTCAATTGGCTTTGGAACATAAGAAATCACTTAAGAATCCCTTCCAAATATGACTTGAATAGGAACAGAACTTATTCTGGAAAGCAACCACTTGGCCTTTGCAAACAAATTTCAATAGCAACTCATTCCTAAATATGATTTAGTCTAAATGTGGCTAAACAAATCATGGGCAAATATCCCCAGAGACTCCCAAAATTGGTCCGGACATTTGGCATGTGCAGGTCTCAGAGCTTTCATTCCCTGGAGATGTTGTGCTGGTCTGTGCAGGTTGCAGAGCTCAAAACCGCAAACTACATACCTCATGTGTCCATTGATTTTTCCCCTGGTGTACTCAAAACCACTGTAGAAACCAGTGTTTTCAAACAAAGCCAGACTCGAATCTGAAAACGGATCTCGTTTTCGCTTTGTTGCCTTTCAAGCGTAAGCAAAGCAAACGTTTGCTGTCATATAGAAGGTGAAACACCAACATAAACACTGTTTTTTTACAGTGTTTTCAGGCATCTGCAAGAACGAGGCACACGGAGTAGACTTGACACCTTCAACCAGAAGAGAGGAAAGGTAGGCCCTGGGGGGGTGACCATATATATATATATATATATATGTATATATATATATATCCACACTCACCATGCTTCAAATGCTGGCTCAGCCGAGTAGCGAGGGGCATAGCGCCACCAAACGCAGCGGCCCCTCTTGCTGCTTGTAACCACTGCCCTCTCCCATGAGACGTGCCTTGCAATCTGCAGACGCGAGTTTCTTCATGTTGATTCCTCTCCGGCCGAAGATCCGCTGCACAAACCTCACTGGCTGAGTGGACGGCCCAAAAAAAGTCTAAACTTTATATTTACCACTAAACTGGACTTCCCAAAAAGTTTAAAGTTCATCAACTCAGGAAGTGAGAAACTCAAAGTCCTTGTGCCTCACAGCATCAAAGTTCTCAAAGGTCACAGCGAAGCCATGCGGCACTCTGGGTGCCTTCCACTTCTTGCGCTTGGCAGTCACTTGCGCAGGGGGCGTTGCAGGCAACCGGTCACAGCCTTTGAAGTCGACACTTCGGCTGCTGGGACTGCCACTGGGGGTGCTGCCGCCGCTGAGCCCATCATCACAGGTGGAGGCAGCGCTGGGATCGCCAAGTGCCATGGTTGGCACATGCCAACCTGTTGCACTCAGCGCAATCAGCGGAATCTTCGCAACTTGGTGCCGGTCTGATGGTACTGTCCAGTCAGCAGGCACACCCACACCTAGGCCCATCGCAAAAGGCATCGCCTTGGTAGGGATCATGTTGCAAAGATACTTTGGGGAATCACCGAAGGCTTCAGCCGAGAGCTGCAGGATTAGAATTGGAGACGATCCCTGGCAGAATCTCCATGTCTGTCAGGCTTCGTTGAGGGTTTTGTGACCCCTAAACGCGCTACGGCGTCCGTTGAGGGCTCTCTGACTATTGAGCTGCATCGTCATACCTGGGCTGTCCTCGGATCCCCTGCCAAAAGTTTAACTTGCAGGTGAAAATCCGAAATCCAAAGGCAAACAGTTTTCAGGAACCGGATGGCTGCGAACCACCCCTGGCCTCAAGGTCTGATTAGGGGGAACAAGCTCAGACCCCAGATCACCAGACCATCACAGGATCCCAGCAGACAAGCAAACACTCTTCTAGGCGTTGATTCCCCATTCTTTTCAACCATCGTTCTTTTCGAACACCAGCTGTTTTCCCAGGGTTTTTTGTGATTTTCTAGAAAGAAGGATCGCTGGAAAGAATGGGGAAGCTGCCCTTAGAACTCTATCAGATTCCCTCAGATTCGTGGGTGGTTTGGATCGGTGATTTGGAGGTGTTCTGGCGGTTGCCCAAATCCAATCCAACCACCCGAAACTATGAAGGAGATCCAGGTGCCTTCTGTTTGTATGAGGAAGGGTAAGCAAATGTTCCTTTGAAACCAACAAAGAAAATTTAAAAAAATGAATTAAGCAAATGAAAGAAACATCTAAAACCATCTCCCCAAGAGGAGACTCACTCAAATTGGCCGAAACCCCGGGTGAACTTGAGCCCCTTTGGGTTACGTGAAACGGACTCCGACGCCAGCTCGCAGCTCTCAAAGAGCTCAGGTTGCAGCCGTTTCCCCGGGGGGCAAGCGGTGAAGGTGATGCCACCGTTGTAGGGCTCCTCGCAAAGAAATTCGCAGAGTATGGTTCCAAGTCAACCGGCAGGTGTTAGTCCTTGCTTCCATTTACAAGGGCAAGCCATCTTGGGGATTCCATTTTGGGGGTTCATAAGGAAAACTGATTGGAATACTGACAAGAGAAGATCGAACTGACCAAAAGAAGCTCACCTTCCAAATGGGGAAACATGGGTATGAGTCCAAATCGAACCACCAGGGGCTGCAGGTTTTGGTCCCTTCCATTTTTGCCATTTTGGGGTTGCCCTATTTTTGACTCTGACCACACCCACATCCTGGGTACGTTGAAAGGACGGTATTGGACGCTCAGAACTCCACCACGCTTAGGGATGAGCGTTTGTGTCTCAACATGGTGGACCATTTCCTTTTTGGTTGGTCTTCTGGGCTGGCCGTCCGCTTTCAGATGTGATCCCCTGCTGAAAGTGACTACTCTTGGAAACCCCACTAAACCGCTAAAAACCTAAAATCCTAAAGGGACGGCTAACCGCCAAGTATTGACAGTGGGAACCAAAAAGGAAGCCGTTGCCCTTGTTGGATGTGAGGTGGGGGTTCATATCCACCAAAAATCATTGGAGGGTATTCCTGCTTTGTTTGAGAAAGAAACATAAGCACATGAACAAACTAGAATTGGTTGGTCTGTTGGCTTGAAAAAGACGGGAAGGGTGATCCACCGCAAGAAAAGGAAACAACATGGCGGAACACTGAGCCTCCCAGAAACAAACAACGCCATGGGGTCTAAAACTTGGCGCCATTGAGAGAAACGTGGTCTTCCACTTCGATCAACCTCCACTTGGTTGGTGGCTTGGATTACCCTCTGCGAGACACTGCGAGAAGCAGGGGTTCAAACCCCCAAACCACCTAGGTCCTCCAGTAGAGGTTAGAACACGGGTACCAACTTTTTGTTTCTGTAGTCTATTTTAGTCACGGGAACCGAATCTCCCAAAAAAGAAACGGCAAAAGTTGGCACCGATCGCTGAAAAACCTAGCCACCAATCCAAACCAGTGAGCGCAAACGCTCAGCCATCTCCCCGTTGAAACCATAAAACATCATACCGCGTGTGTCTTACCGTTCAGCAACTCATCCTCCAAATTGACATGCATTATTTCAATGGGAACAAGAAAACCATGGAGCAACGGATCCCCAAAAGGAAGACTGTTTTTCGGGTCTCCATACTAGTGAGCAGAGGCTACTAGTAACCCCTTGGTTTCAACTGGTGGCAACTGGGCTACGCAGGTTTTGGTCTTTGGCTCCATTTGCCAAGGTGCAATTTTGGTACATGTTTTGGAGCTACAGCCAACTGAACCGCGTATCTTGTTTGAAAGGGACCCGCGAACACTTCCACTGGGCTGCTTCCTCTCCCAGGGCTGCTTATCTAGTCTTGGTGGTTTCACAGTTGCGTTTTCCCTTTGCCTCAAAATGGGCTCAATTGCCAAAATGAAATAAAAGGTGACCTTCTTACTACAAATGGACCACAAAGGGTAACAAAAAGGTCAAAAAGTCGACTTTGGGTAAAGCAAAAAAGACACACTCATTCAAACAATTGAAGCGGTCGAAATTGTTGACTTTGGACTCTACCAATATGGTAATGATGGTTAAATGCAACGCTATGACCATGATGCCTTCCCTCCAATTGATGCTTTGGATTGTTGGTTTGGAGCTGTTCTGGGGGGTTTCCATTTTTCACAAGAACCAGGGGTTCTAATCCCAAAAAAAAATCCCAATCTAAACCACCAATTGGAGAACTGAACATTTATGACCGATTTAGGGGAGCCATTTAAGACGATAGGGGAATCCTTGGTGAACATTACGTGGGGGAATTTTGGCCACCACGCCCGCATTGGCTCCAACTCTGAAAAATTGCGCAGCCACCTTGATAGCCCCTGGAACCAATAAACCAAAACGCGGCCTCTTCCTTCGCATGCGACTGGGCAGGTTGAATGAATCAGCTTTGCCCAGAGCCGCTGTTCGGCCCAAACAGTCGGGGAAACCATGGAGCAATGATGAACAGTCGGAAGGCAACGTGGCTGTTAGGTTTACTGGCGCCTTCGAGCCGGCAAGTTGCTCACCTAAAACCCACTTACAGCCTATGCTAACATGCTAGGGCCAAGCATGCCAGGTGAACAACTCCGACGCTGCAAAAAATCAGCGAGGTCCTCCAGTGGAGAGGTTAGAAGGGTACCAACTTGATTCTGTCTATTTTAGTAGGGGAACCCTCCCCAAAAATAGGGTAAAAGGGCACTGCTGGGGACCCTAGAATAATCGTCCTCCGCATCGTCGAGGTCCAAGTACGCCTCGGCACTCCCGAGGCCGGGTTTGCGGGCCTTCTAGACTTTCGGATCATCCTTTTGCGTGCGAACTGTGGATGGACGAAATCCGCTGCTCGCACCACTTTGAAATCATAAGGTTTCCCAATGATAATTCATCATTCCAGGGTTTCTTAGGTGGTGCGAAATGGATTTTGTCCTACTTGCACGAACAAAATTCAAACATGCTTGGTTCGCGGCACTTGTCGAAGCGCGTGCGTGTGGATGTTCGAGCTGGATTGAAATGCTCACCCTTTCTTCCCTGCATCTTTGTTTGCGCATTTTGTTCTAATGAAATGCTTCTTTGGGTTTTGCGCTCTTCTTGGAATTTGCGCACTTTTTCGGTGATTCGCGCACTTTTCGGAAACAACTCAGGTGGCCAACATTGGGTACTTGTGGAAACCATCTGCGCTGCTCGCTTCCTTGCCGCCACAGCTCTTTGTGGAGGCACTTTCTGCCCAATCTGTGCAAGCCGCTGGCTCCAACCGCCATCAGAGGCCCCAGGTCCTCAAGCATAGCCTGGGTTTGCGCGGATCCGCTGTTTGCTCCAGGACTGTGCATGCGCCACACTTCTGAAGCTGAATCGATATCCCGGTGCCCTGCCAGCCTGCAATCTGCGAAAGGAAAGGCTGCGGTACTCTCGCACCAATGGCGCGAAAGTGCGCGCAAGTACCAAACGTGCGCGCATGCGTGCATGCGCGGTTCGGACATTTTTACGGCACCACCCCCTTTCAACCTAAAAACCGGTGTGCGGATTTCTTGGAACCTCTGAGTGGACTCTTGTTTGCCCTGTCCCTCATGCTGGCTTGTCAAAATTAGTCAACATGCACGCTGGTTCCTTGGATCATTCAGTTCTTCAGGCGGCTGTTGGGCGACCAGGCGACCATTTATTTTCGCCCATTTGTTTTGCTAGGTCCTCCAGTGGAGAGGATCGAATAAGGATACCTACTTTCTTGTCTGTATAGTCTACTTTAGTAGGGGAGCCCTCCCCCAAAACCGGGTAAAAGGGCACTACTGGGGGACCTAGTCTTGAACAGCTCGACAGGTTGGTGTCAAGGTTTTTTACACGCCGCACCTTTACCCAAATCAGCCACACACGCCTCGAGCAGTTCTTAAAACTTTGAGGTTTTTGCTTGACATACGCACTTGTCCAGCGTGCGCACTTTTTGCTGCTCAAGTGAAGATGCAGGTCCTGACCATTTTCTGCCTCTGAAACTTGCCAGCCTGGCGAGGCATGCGGCCATCTTCTAGCTCCATTCAAGACATGTTTGGGAAACGCCCTGCACCGAGGAAGGGACGAGACAACGACGCAACAAACAGTATCAGTCAAACACATTCACGCACTCTGTCGAACACCCTCTGGCAAAATGCACATGTCGCATGCAATGTTGTTCTAAGAGTGGTAGACCTCTCTCATGCACTTTCGCCGGTCTGTTCTGCAAGGCAACAAACCCCCCGACATCCGGTTTTGTGGCATGTTCCCATGTGGACACAGGGTCAGTTGAGTCAGTTCTGTATCAACATGCCCGCCACGAGGAACCCTCACCCATACGTGGATCAAGACAAAAGGATAAGACTTGTGCGTCTCAGAAGCCGTTGTCAAAGACTCAGTTAGGAAATTAACTGCGCCCAATGCGTAGACTCCAACAAGCATCGCTGCGCGCCCCATGGCACCATGCCAAGTTAAATGCCGCTGAAGCTCTTCAACATATAGCCTGATGCGACCCCCCTTCCTGCGAGCGGCTGCGAGCGGCAACTGGGGGCTCGGGCAGAACCCCCCGTGTAGCCGTCGTACGAAGTTAGCTCGCGGTAGTAGGGGTTGATCCGCTCCTGTCGCGCGCCGAATAGCGAGAAAGGGAGTCCAGTCAAGCCTTTCAGTCAGCCTGTCTAAGAAACCAACTACAGGAAGTTCTACAGGAAACCCCTGATTTTGCTGGGAGCTTGGCCAGTTTCCTGTATAGCTGGTTTCCATGAGCCTGGCAAAGTGAGCGAGCTCAGCGCGTTTAGAGGGCGACGGCGAAAGTGGCCCTTCGCTCACGCCTCGATGTGCTTGAAGCACTTCATGAACCTCGCCACGCGCTCGGCCTGGCTACGTCAGAAGGCGCCGAAACTGGATCGCTCGGAATCCCGGTCGGTTTGTCTTTCCGAAAGCAACCCTTAACCCCTACACATGGTATACATATTTATGTGTATGTGTATATATATATATATGTGTATGTATATATATATATCTATATACGGGAGCCTTGGGGAACACCCCCCCAAATGGCTTTTTGTGGAACCTCTGTGGCATACAGTATGTGTGTGTCTCATGGCCGTCGAACATGGGTTGTTTCCGGCAGGTGTCCCGTTGAAACCGTTCCAAAAGGTATACTTACAAAAGACACACACACACACACTTAGCAATGTAAGGCAGAGCAATAGTCAATGACCCAGTAGCCAAGGCACCGTCCTTACATGGCCTCCTCCCTGTTACTCTGTGTGTGTGCTCTGTTTCATAGCTCGGCCGCATCCCCCGTAGGCATCCCTCGTAGACACGGTGTCCCTCTACAACAAGGGAAGCCTTTGCCATTTTGTGGGAGACAAATTGGTTGAGCCATTTTCTGATACCAAGAAAATAGCGCCCTTAAAAGTGATAACATAGACAGAAGGACGGCCAATATTGGGGTCACAGAAAGGATGTAAGTATGTATTTGTTCACTATCATACATACACATATTATGCAGATATGTATGTATATACATATATAAAGATTATTGCCTCCATGAAAATAATGGCCCAAGGAAACCCAATGTGGATGATAAGTTACCTCCTGAAGGGTAAATCACGGTGAATAATATTCACCCCCAAAATCCGGAAGTAAGTCATGGTGGTGAAATATTCACCCCCATAAAACCCTCAGCTTAACTTCCTGGTGAAATAGTCAGCCCCCCCCCCCCAAAAAAAAAAACTTGGGTTAATGGTGGTTAGACGAACCCCCCATAAAATCCTTACGTATCTAAACTTGGTTGACGAGCAAAGATTTAGATTTTAGCAGTTAAGTGGGGATTTCCCACTAAATCACCATAAGCGAAAATGTAAAATGTTTCCCAATCACCATGAAGTAAAGTTATTGGTGGCGAACTATTCACCGACCCGTCTTGCCTGGTCCGCCAGAACCGCATCAGGGATTTTAGCCCCAGCGCCAAAATCCCTCCATTTGCTTAAGTCCCCTGAAACAAAACAAGCATTTCCAGTATATAGTGAAATCGATTCCCGTTAAAATTTCCAGTATCTAGTGAAATCGATTCCCTTTAAAACTAACCAGGTCCTGTGAGGTTAGAATCAGTTGGTACCAACTTGCTTCTGTCTATTTTAGTAGGTAACCGAATCTCCCCCCAAAAAAGAAAGGGTAAAAGGGCACCTAGCTGGGGGACCTAGTATTCTCAACCCCCTTCGTTTCAATGGTGGTAACTAATTTTCCCTTGAAAACCACCCGGGAAAAAAAAAAAAAAACATTCATTTCACCCCATGGAAACTTGCAACTCCCGGAAGTCCCGTAGTGAACTCGGCTCCCTTCACCGGGAAGCCTCCGCTCCGGCCGCGGGCTGGCTGCGCCTTGATGGCCTCGAAGTCCCGCAGGAGCCGCTGGGACTCCAAGCTGGCGGCGTCCGCCTGGTGCCTGGCGAGAGCTTCTCTCGAGCTTCTTTCTCTCGAGGCGAGAGACGTCGTAAAAAAAAAAAAAAAAAAAAAAAAAAGAGCGAGATACTTCTTTTTTTTTTTTTTTTTTTTTTTTTTTTTAAATAAAGAAACTCTCAGACTTCAAATCGGAGAGTTTCTGACTTCGACAAAAAAAATCCGAGGAAATCGGAACCAGCCCTTGAAGAACTTCGAAGAAGAAAAAGACGCTGACAAATCCGAGGAAATCGGAACCAGCCCTTGAAGGAAAAAAAAGATCTCTTAAGGTTTTGTTAGGCCAAGATCAAAGGGAACACAAGAAGGTGAGGTCACAACCTCCCTCTTGCGCGATCCATGTCTTACATAGAGACTCGGCAGAAACCTCCATTTGATTCTTTGCCATGGGTCTTGGGTAGATGCCTTCCAGGTTTTGTATTGTACCTTGCAACTTACAAACAACAACAATAAACAGAACCGCAAAGGAGGAGAGTGAAAAGGAATTCAGCAACACCTACAAACAATCAACCATGTTGCCTTGTGTTCGCGCACAACCAGGAAGACCTGTTTGACAATGTCCTGCCCTGTCCCTCCAACGCAAAATCCTACTACTTGGGGTCTTCGACTCTGTTTGATCAATGGAAGCACAACTCGCCTCAAACCCTTGGCACAACTCGCCTCAAAAGAAAGGGCCACCAGACCAGAAGACCAGAGAGTGAAAAAAACATCAGCCCAAATTCGGGCTTTTTCTCAGCTGAAAGCTTCAGGGTCGTTCACCCCAAAGCCTTCTTGGGGTTTGGTTCCAGGTATCAGGGGGTTGACACATGCCCAGGAAAAAAACAAGCTCCTGGGCCGCGAGAAAAAGAAAACAAGTCGCAGGGGAGACGAAAAGGCTCGAAAGATGTGCCATTGAAGCCAAAGGCCAAAGCGGAAGGCAGGGAAGCACCAAGTAAAGGGAACCCCCTAGCTCACGTTTGGGATCTCTGTGCCAATAAGAGACTTTTGTTCGAGCCTGCAAGGGGGGGCCTGCGTTCTTGCCAAGCGTGTGCTGCTTAAGCCTTGAACGCGACAGGGTTCAGCCCGTTCAGTAGGTTAAAGCAAAACACCTCTGTCTTTTGACCTTGAAACCCAATTTTTGAGTCCGAATCCTTATTTTGACACAAAACTAGATGTTTCCTTCAGGAGCAAGCAACCATACCCAAGCTGCCATTTGGTTAAGACCCCAGGAAAAAAACACTGAGTGAAAAAATCATTTTAAACCCAACAAAAAAAACATCTTACGCAAATGGAAGGCAAGTCTACCCACTTCAAGAGGCAACCGGAGAAAGCGCCGGAGAAAGCGCCTAATGTCCTGGAGCTTAGACTCTTCCACCGCGCACTCTTCCATGGCGCGCCTCTGAAGCCAACGTTTGGAACAAGACACATCCATACTGGACCAAATGCTGCACCACCTGAGAAAAATTCTAGGGAACCCTGGTGTCTGAGGCTTCCCCTGCTTTTTACCAAATGGGTTCCATGGAACCAGAAAATTGAAGTTCAGAGTTCAGACCCACTAAAAATGGCACCACCTGGTGGGTCTGAACCCTGGATCTGAACCACATAATGGTGAACTTCCTATGAACCTGATTGTTGGTTATATCAACCCCTTCTGAGTAATGGAGTCTGAGCCCTGGTGTCTGGTGCTTCCCCTGTTTCTACCAAATGGTGTCCATGGAACCACAAAAAAGTGCAGGATTTTGTCCATCCACAGCATGAATGTGAGCTCTCGTTGGGCATTCTCGTGTGGGCAATATTGGGGTCAGGTTTTGTGCCCATTTGGAAGAGCATTCCTCATTCGAAAAGACTATGAAAGTCATGTGGGCGTCCTTTTTTTCTCAGGGTGCACATTTGTTTGTTGTGGCAAAGGGAGACCAACGCCTGTGTTTGGGGGTGGGTTCACGCGAAAAAGACACGCCCATATAAACTGATTCACAGACCTGCTTTGCGAGATGTAACCTCGTGACGAGAACGTCACGAGTGGGCAACAAGGAACCTCACAAGGAACCTCGCAAGAAACCTGTCATCCAAACACATCGAACCTCACAGGGGTCCTGTGGGACCTTCTGGTGGGTTCCATTTCAGTAGAAGGTAGCTAGAACAAGGTTGTGGGGTACTCTAAACAAAAAAAACGTCATGGTAGGATTGGCTCCAATGGCTTGACCCCTTCACTCTCCCCCGGCCCTACGGAGCGACCACTTCCTCAGGGGAAGTAGGGAAACAAATTCTCAGGGCCCAAAAGCCAATCGAATCGGACCCCAAAACATATTAAATACTTTGCCCCCTACATCAACACTAGAAAAAACCCAGTAACACCCATCTTTCGAGTAGCTTCACGCACAGCGCATGAATGCTTAAAACAACTTCAGGCTCAAATAGTTCCATCAGAAGTGTGTGCTGAACAGGCTCCAGACACCGCGTTGTCTTCCCTCGTGTTGTCCATCCCTCAAACTCACTCCTCCCCGCGTTTCCGCCAAGACCCGCGCATGTTGGGGTTCAAGGTCTCAAGCTCCCTGGCAGGAAACCAAACAAAGCCGAAACTCGGGTAGAGGAAGGTTAAGGAAAAATCCCCTTGCCATAAATGCCCAAGGTCGCCTTGAACAATTCTTTACGTGGCTCTGGGTATACCGTATACCTTCTTTATACCAGGCATTGAGTATGACTCAGAATCCATGCTCGTGAAACTGAATGGCTACGGTATGAAATAGCAGCACCACGCAAAAAATGGAGAGCCGTTCAAATGGAACCCTCAAAAAGCACGCGCTCCAACGGGGAATCACCTCAAAAGAAGTGGTGGTTTGACACGAATCGCCCTGTCCACCAAAGGGTCTGGGACCAAGGACATGAAGCTTGATCACTGATCCTGGCCCCCAACATTCCCATGGGCCACTTTTCCCATGTGAAAAAGTCTTTTGCTTGGAATTTTCCGCAACGGGTTCAACCCCCTTCAAAGACTTGCTGACCCAAGTTTGGATGATGAAACTCCTGAATGGTAAAGAATGGTGGTGAAAAACTCACCCAAGCTTTGTTTCAGCTGGTAACTGAACCCCTTGGATCAAACCCATGGCACATTTCGCGAGTCGGTGGCCAAACAACTTGAAGCTCCTCCGACTTAAACATGGCTGTCTCTTTCTTGGAGGCTGTTCTAAAGGGAAAAAACATCTTAGCCATATTGGCTGAAGCGCCACCGCTATTTGGTTGCCATTTAAACATGGCCATTTTGGGGTTCCCCTAAAAAACAGACACAACATAGACTGCTGGATACCTCGGACATTAGCCAATCGCTGCTGCCGTTGCTGGCCATCCACATGTTCATCGTTGGGCGGAGTCCTGAACGTTGCTTGGCCCGCATCTGAGGCACAATCAAAGTCATAACTTCGGAGTCTGCTTCATATTCAGTCGACCCTGAAACATAAACTACACTCCCTCAGACTAGCATGGAAGCTCCCAGAAGGCCTCTGTAAATGGAACCAAGTCTTCCAAAGGGGTCCTGGAAGCTTCCATGTTAGCCCAAAAGAGGGTATTTGTTTTGAAGGAGACACCAGATCATGTTGCGGGGTGTTTCCAACTATATAACATCTTAGCCATATTGATCCATATTGGCTGAAGCGCTACCGCTACGCAGAGACGCCAAGTAACTTCAGGCCCACCCTCAACTGAAGACTGCGCCTACAAAGCAACATGTATGTAGAGCGGTCCATGTTTTACGGGTTCCCCCTCCTCCGAAATCATACGTTCGTTGGAAGGTGGATTTGTCAGAGAGTTATGGGTCGATCTTTGAGCCTGAAAGCATGATTCACTTGTTGCTAGTGGAAAGCCTTCGTGTTCCAAAACGTTAAGAGTTATGCTAATGGGAACCATGGAGCAGTAGTAAACACCTGATTCATTCAGGGGAGGTGTCCCGTTTTAGCCCGATTTCATCACTTCTGAAAAACCCTAGGTCCGGGGTCCAACATATTTCAGCAAAACCAAGAGCACCCATTACCCCTGTGGTTCAACCCCCATTAAAACAAAGGTTGACCCAATTTAGATGATGACAATCTTTAGGTAAATAATGGTGGTTATATGAACCCCCATTGTTTTAAAGGTTGTTTGAACCCCAGGGTTACTTTTTTTTCCGTAGAGCTTTCAACATGGGTGGTTTCCTCTTCGCCTTCGGTCCCGAATTCCTTTGGTACCAACTTCCATCAAATACACGAGCAAGAGCTGAACTGGTTGCTCAGGGTGTTTTGTGAACACATGATCGCCTTAACGCAAGTCAAAACTATGGGGAAACTCAATAGTTGGTATTTCCTGTTGTTTCCCTTCCCAAACGCTCCAATTCGATTGATTTGGGGCCCTCAAACAGCCAAGTTTTGAGAGTCCAAAACCGCTCTGGGGTGTCCAATGGAGGGTCTGGGTCTTCCATTGGAAGCCCCAGGAGCGTCTGGGTTTAAAACAAACTAAACAAGGGAGTGCCCTCAACACACACACACACACACACACACACACACACACACACGCACACACACAAATATGATGAAAGCCAAGCCTCTGGCTTGCTGCCTGCAGGCTGTGAGCACTTGCTTCTGGGCCTTTGCTTAACCCGGAAAGCCAAAAGAACCCGCCCCCTCCCCCCGGAACCCATTCTTGGGATTCAACACCTACGCATTGGGCTTCGAAACCTATGAGACCCCAAAGGTTGACCCCTGACTTCCCAAACCCCTAATGAGCTGCCCACGAAAACCAGTTGGACACCAGCATAATAAGTAGGTGTTTATCTGAATCCCAAGTCGACCAATTGTGGGCCCACATGGCAACAACCTGTGGACGAAATCCATTTCACTCCACCGAAACCATGGTTGAAGCCATTGCCTCTTGGTATTTGGGGATCATATCATTCCAGGGTGTCTGAACGGCGATGCGGGCAGCGGATTTCGCAACCATCCACACTGTGGCCCTACATGGGTGTGGGTCAAAAATGGGTACCCCAAATGGAAGCCTAGTAAATGGAAACAAGGACTAAAACCTGCGGTCCATATCCTGGTGATTTCATTTTGACCCAGACCCACATGAGTCACAATCAAAACCCGGTATTAAAATAGTCGTAATCCCAGAACCATGGTTCAGGACATAAGGCGGATCTCCGCAGCTTTTTGTGGCAAGGGGATTGTCCCTTACCAACCTAACCATCTACCCGAATCGGTTTTGAGCACGTGGCTCACCTGGCAACGACCCCCGGTCACGAGTTCCGAGTTACGTCCGTCTCTCCGTCTCGCGTCTCCGCGCCTGGCTAACTCCGCCACCTGCTCCGCGTACTCGGCCTCCACCGTCTTGGTGTCGTAGACCCGACTTTGCTCCGCGAGCTCCTGCTACGTGTCTTTTTTTGTCGAACAGGTGACGTGGGAAGCTCGGGGCTCCGTTTTTTTCCTCTTCTTTTTTTTTCCGGAAGTCATACCATGTTGCACACCAGAGGATTGCCGGTAAAATTGAGGCCAGAGGATTGCCGGTTACTGCAATACTGCAGGCGCATCCCCCCCTGGAAACACTCAACTCGGAGTGGTTGAAAGCCCACGACCAAGCAATTGGATGGTCAAACTAGGAACCCAGAGCTGGTTTTGGTTGCATGGTCCATGGTTCTGCCAAACCCGACCTTCCCCGATCCGGCTAAGCTGGGTGATGAAAGCCAAGCAACAAAAGGGACCAAGTGGATGCATTGGCAAGCGTCCATAGTCCGGTGCACGGGTTCAGTTGCCGGAGCCGCCCGCCCTCATCGAACAGTCCGGTGCCTTCTTGTCCTCTGGCAACTTGGCAAAGTCAACTTGGACATCCCTGGCGGAAGCTTGCGCCTTCCAACAAGTGATCAGAACCTAGGTCCTCCAGTAGAGAGCTTAGAATAAGGGTTCTATTTTAGTAGGGGAACCCTCAACCCTCCCCAAAAAAAGGGTAAACGGGCACTACTGGGAGACCTAGGAACTCAACAACACCAAATGTCTTGATTGGGGTGGAGGGTCATTGGGGTGGCTTGTAGGGTCCCTGACCAGTGAATCACTGAAGGCTTATGAGGGTCAGAATGAGGGTAGGATACACAGAAAAGGTTCCAATAATCAGAAAATTGGACAAATGGTGCCACCTCGAACTTTGAGATCCATAAGCCAAATCCCAAGTGATTTCACATTTGGGAGTATGGAGGATCATTTTTCATCGCAGTGCCAGTCGGCAGGTTTGTTCATCCAACTCTCTCCGGCCGCCCTGCCTTTTTGAGTTTAGAAATTTGAGTTGTGTTGCACACCACATCGCAAGTATAGCGTGAGGGTGTAACGACAGCAATGACAATAGTTAAATTAATCAATACATGGTCATACCTGTACAGGTTGTACATGTATACTAATATAGCCACCTACATGATGTATACATACGGACATATATATATATATATATATATATTTCCGTATGTACCATGTACATACACATATTATGTTTGTATGCATCTATATATATATATATAACTGTGCGTATGCGCATGGAAGTGCGCAAGTCTGTGTAACCAGCGTCGCGCCTCACAGCTGCCTCCAGGTCTTTCAGGGCCATATCCTCCACGTCCTGCGCCTTGGACAAGACCTGGAGCCGTGACCGGACGTTCCCGGACCCGGTGACGAAGTGACCGATGAAACCAATCCATGGGTCTGGATGCCATAAAACGAAACGTATCCCCTCCAAGTAGCCAAAGGCCTTTGGAGCGAGCTGGTCTCCGGAAAAAGGGTACTGGACACTTTTGATCCTTTAGAACACAGAAATTCCAAGTACCAACCAGATTTGAGGTAGGGGTTTGGTAGGGGATTTCTCATTTGCAGATTCGAAATCCGCAAAGATATGGTAGGGACCTTCTGGGATCTAAAGCGCCATCCATTTCTTGCGAAATCCTGCCACCTAAGGCGTTGCAGAGTCCCTTGTAACCAGGGAACCATGGTTTCTGGTTTCAAAGTGGTGCAGTTCGTCCACAGTAGCCAAGCCAAAAAGGACAGCCTCCCAACCAAAAAACGGGGTAAAAGGGCACTGGGGGACCTATAGAAAGGGCAGACCCACTTTTTCGATGTTACTTGTCTACTGCATGTGTATATGCCTTGAGAAGACAAACAACAAGTAAAGAACAACAAAAAAAGGCAACACCACGGATCAAAAAAAAAGAAGAAAACAACAAACAAAAGAAACACAGGAAAAAAAAGAAAAACAACGAACACAAACAAAATAAACACACGAAAAACAAGAACAAGGAAAAACAAAACGAATAAAACAAACAAGAAGAAAAACGAAACAGTAAAATAAGGCCTGCTCCATGGCCCCGATGTCGCTGCTCGCGAGCGGTAAGCCCACTCGACGCTCACCTGACGAGCGAGCCGACACCGACGACACGAGCGACGGGGAGCCGCCCTGGGCACAACGACTTTTTTCGGAGACCGACCAAACGGACCTCGTGTTTCCGTTGGTTTACCTTTCCCAGAGGGTCCAAGTACCTTATCTTTGCGGATTTGAGGAATCTGCAAATGATAAATCCCCTTGAAGCAAACCCAAGACCTCAAATATGGGGTACTTGGACCCTCTGGGTTTGAAAACAACCCAACAGTGGGTTATATCCAACTGGTTTTTCAGGTTGGACCCCAAAATATGATGGAATCCCTAAGGCAGAGTAAAGCTGGGCAGTTGACCGCCGGTTTCGGGTTCCTTGTGGTTCCCTACATGTTCCGTAGCTTTTCAAGTTTTTTCGGGGATCCCCAAACATAATTTTTGTTTTCCTTCTGGCTTCCTTTGAACACCACCCAAAAGTGGGCACGACACCCCTAAACAATTCCCTTGAAGCATCTTTGTAGCATCATGGGCTTCTTAAAAGGCACATGAACAAACACATATAAACAGCTTTGAAGAACTACCTTTAAACCTGTATGCTTTGGGATTTCTTGAGCGACGACTGCGAACAAAAACGCAATGAACGTGCCACTAAAACCATTTGATGGACGCCGTGAGAGGGGCCTAAGACTGCCTTTGGCATGATATTGCAACACATGCTCGCTTTAAACATGTTAGAACGGCTATTGTTGAAACGACTTCTGTTGGCAAAGGCTGGTTGTTTTAGCAGCTGTTGCCTATCCCACCTTTAGCAGACTGAGCGATGCGTACAAACTCATACAGCTTTGGGGAACGGTTCGGGAGTGCTGTCTCCGGAAATTGCAGTGTTGGAATCCGCTGCGATACCAGTGGAAGGCCTTTCCCAAATTTACTCAGTTCCCATTTCAAGAGAGGTTCGCTCATACTGTATGGGTGACCGTTCTGAAACAAGTGGTGGGTGTTTTTTCTGGTAATTGGGGCATAACATCTAAATCTAAAGCGTGAAACCCATCTATTTCCAACCAAACTGATCTAAAAAGGACACCTCTCCCTGCTATTGCAGGTCCAACTAAACTTCGTGGGGGATCCCTAGGGCCAAGAAAAATCCACCTACCGCAAAAAGGAAAGGCAGGTAGGTCCCATAAATCACAAAATGACCGAATCCTCCCTCCCCCAATTCCACTATTTTTGCTGGTGGGGTGGGGGGTGGGGATGGAACGCCCTGTTTAAGGGGTCTATGTGTTGGGAGCCCGTATTGCTTTGCCCAATCCAAGTTACCTAGCAGGCATGCAAGGGAACCGCGCTTCAAAAGCAAAGAAAATAATATGGCTTGTTACGTATGCCGACTTGTGAGGGATTCACCGCGAAGAATAGCACAATTCTACAATCTGGTGTGGACTTCCGTTGGTGTCCAATTCCATTTGCCGCAAAAGCCATCTCACCTTCCCGTGACTTGGATTGATGGATTGGTTGAATACTTCGCCATACTGTGGATGGACGAAATCCAATTCGCACCACTTTGAAACCATGGTTGAAAACACAATTTGTGGGTATAAACAGAAGAATCAGACCATAAACCCAGGGTTTCTTAGGTGGTGCGAAATGGATTTTGTCCATCCGCAGTACCTCTAGGAAAGCCAGCCGTTCAAATTCGCAAAGCACCAATCAAGGATACGAGGCTCCAAGGCATTACGAGGCTCCCTTGCAGCTTTTGGTACATAGGATTCGTGAAACTTCTGCGGGGAACTTCAGATCTGAAAAAGGTGGAATAGATACCCTCACCATCCCTCACCAACTAACATGGAAGTGCCAAAAGGCCCTTTCCAAGAGGAAAGTCAGCTTTCGAACGGGGTCTGTGCACTTCCATGTTGGCTGGTGGGAGGATAACCTTACCATTTGCTGAAGTCTCCTGGACGAAAACGTGTCCAGCAGTGGATTGCCGTTAAGACTAACTTTGGGAAAACAACCGTATCTTGAGCAAGCGGAAGCTCGTCTTTACCCAAGGCTACAGAGTCTTGCCCTTGTGGCTGCGCGGGCCAATTTTCGTGACGTAACCGGCCACTGACTGATTCAAAAGTCTCCAACTGTTTGGAAGGCTACAACCTGAACGGTAGACACCACAATCGGATGCCAGACTTCAGGTTTTGAGTATATAGTCGGAAGCTTGGATGGTTTGGCGACCAAGGTCTCAAGACCAACTCTATGAGCAGTGGTCAAGACACCTCTTTACTGTAAGCTTATGCCGATCTCCAAGCAGACTTAAACGGTCAATCTTGGAAGAATCGCGTATACATATTATTACCACTCTCCGAAACTTGTGGATGCTGCACTGGGAGAGGTGAAACACGAAGTCGTCTCTTCATGTTAAAGGCCCCAGCTAACCACATGCAGAAGCTTGCCCAAGGAGAAACAACCCAAAGGCAGCACAACCTCAAGCCAAACTAATGTTAGGTCCTCCAGTGGAGAGGTTAGAATAAGGGTACCCTTTTTCTGTAGCCTATTTTAGTAGGGGAACCCCCCCGCAAAACAGAAACGGTAAAAGGGCACCAATTGCTGAGGGGCCTAGAGTTGCTTTGGGGAAGAACTTTGACACCTGTAGGCTCTCTTGGAAGAGTGGCGTACAGAGCACTCGAGCTATAAATAAACTGAGTGATACTGTGGATGGACGAAATCCATTTCGCACCACCTCAGAAACTTTGGGAAACCATGGTTTGTTGGTATTTACAGGGGATCATATTATTCTAGGAGTATCTTGGGGAGTGGGACACGCATCTTTGCTTTCAATCATCTGTGGTTGCAAGTCGAAGCGCGTTTTCGACCCTTTGGCCTGGAAGACAACACAAGACCCATCAGCGAGGTCGCAATAATGTGTCGAGATGATGCCTTGATAGGGATCCTTCATACAGTAGGGATCCTTCATAAGCTGTACAAATTCTCCGTCACAGGTCCATCACCATCGCTGAAGTAACAAGCTAAGAAGGTCTTTCGACCAGGGCATATATGGGGAGTTGTCAAACATATGGCCCCTTTTTGGACCCTCTCGCTTTTAGCGGATACCAACAAGGGCCCCTAACTCAAGGTCTGCAGGCTTCACTGGAACAAACAAATAAAACCGCCAGATGGAACACCCATATCCACAACAGTCAGTAACCGTCCTGACCCCAAGACAAAGTGTCATGACCTTACCCCTTAAAACTCCAAGGATTGGGGAAGTTAACCTTTTACAGACGTATAGCCCATGTTACCCAAAAAATTGAAAACTTGTGTTTTTAAGAGGTAAGTAACCCCTTAATTTTGGGGTCATGGACCAACCCATTTTCAAAGGGTCGCGGATAGGTATAGAACTCCCACGGCCCCAAGAAGAGGGTGGAAAATGCCCACCATATTTGGGCCTTGGGATACCTGATTGCGCCACACACCCGAACATAACTTGCCCCCATGGTCTGTCTTTAAGGTTGGGCCCGGTCCAAAAAAAGAGAGCTTCGGCTTTCCTTTTGGTTTCCTTGAACAATGACCCAAATTCACTGGTTTTCTTGTCTCGGGCTCCTGCGACACTCCTGGAAGATTGTGCAAATGATGCCGAAGAGGATCTTCACCTGCCCCGAGTTTACTTGTCTTCACGGGATACCACCTTCCCTGAACCTCCCTCCCCTGGTTTCACAAAAATCACTCCCTAATTCACAGGCGGATTGTACAGGCCCATATGTGTATATATATATATACAGCATGAACCCATGGCCATGTTGCACCCTATAAGGGGCTGATTTCAACCACATTAAGCCACAACAAATGGTGCATTAAGCCATGAACTAGGGCTTCATACCAGGGGTTCACATATTGAGGTACGCATTCGGCCCTTTGACTAAGGTGTGACTTTTTTGGCCTTCTTTCCGCGTGTTTGTTTTTCATGTTGCCATGGTGCAAAACGCCTTGGCACGTCTTGACACCTCGAGTTCCAGTGGAAGAAGTTGCATTGGAACAAGAGGATTTCTTAAAAATCAACCAGTCTTCCGGGAAACTGGTCTTAATTTGTCAGGGCTACGTGTGTTTTCTGGGTGCTCGTCTTGATTTGCAGGGGGTATCTCACTGGTCACAAAAGAGCAGCAACTGAAACGTCAGCCTGGGGGCCATTGAAAGGGAACCGCGTATTTTCGGGGCTCCGATCTGGTGAACGCCCATTTTCGACCTTGACTTCACTTGCCCAGCTCGTTTTCCACGTCTTGCAGATCACCCTCGGGACTCGGTTTTGGGGACTGGAGAACTGGGCGGTGTTCAGATCCGAGAAAAGCTGAACACCTTGGGCGAAACGGACACCACTGAACTACACCTAGGTCCTCCAGTTTGAGGTTAGAATCACTTGGTACCAACTGGTTTCTGTCTATTTTGGTAGGGGAGCCGAATCTCCCCCAAAAAAAGGAAACGGCAAAAAGGGCATTGCTGGGGGACCTAGAAACCCTCACCGAACAACCTAAAGGGGACGGCTGCAAAGCGGCAAGAGAAGTCGGATGGCTCGGATTCAGACGCCTCCGGTTGAAATTTGGATGGCGGGTGCCGGGTCCGAAAAGGATGGGTTTGATCGGGGTTTCCGAGTGGGATTGGGCACCATGCCGACATGGCCATGCGTTGAACACAGCGCATGCGTCTCACAAATCAACATGAGCGCGGCTCGCTCCCTTGCGCACGCGTGCACGCACACGAACCATCCTCAGAAGGAACCCAGTCTGAGGTGGTTTGAAAGGAAAACTGAAAGGAAAACCACCAATTTGGGTGTCCCCCCAAAAAAGTATATATATATGTACATATATACAAGTCTGGGTGTGCTCCAATTCATCAATCTAATGTAAGGGCCTCCTAAAAAGAAGCTTCATTTGCATCGTTGCGCCTTGTCGTTCTGCCGCTTCAGCCCCTTCTTGGCATCCTCTGATTGCGCCTGAGCTGCAAACATGACAGGGCAGGGTCCCGTTCTGGCCTGACATGTTTGGAGGCTTTAAGGAGAAACCAAGAGGAAAGCCACATTGCTTCATTTCTTTCATGTCTTTTTGCATTTTTTGAGGGGGATCCCCTAAAAAAAGATACACCCAGTTGTTGACTACCCCAAGGTAGACTTAAACCCATTGGGGTTTCCTTTTGGGAAAATCAACCACCCCTTGGTTTCAGTCCAAACAAATTCACTCTGACTGTCGGAACTCTTGAAAGACGGGCTAGACGCTTTCTGCTGCTCACTTCTGATCGAGTGGGCTGGCCAAACCAATCCGAACTGCTTTACCACGATGGTCTTCCTATAAGTTGACCAAAGTCCGAAACGGAACTCGGGGACTTAGGTTTATTGTTGTTATTTTTATTTGGATGGCGAATTCAATTCCAATAATTCCAGGCATCGACTCAGTGATCTTCACTTGTCCACCTATTGAAGCCGTAGGTGTTCTTGTTTAGCTCTCTGGATCTCTAAGCCCGCAAGAGCAAGTGACTCGAACGGTAGACCAAAGGGGGCCGAACCCTTACCCCTTAAAACTCCAAGCCCTGGGGAAGTTAATCTTTTCCAGACATAAAGCCCATGTTACCCAAAAAGCAGAAAAGTTGTGTTTTTAAGAGGTAAGAACCATTTTGAGGCTTGACCATTCTTACCCTTTTGAGGGCCCCAGATTTCCATGGGAAGCACGGCCCCGACTTGAAAAGGGGCTTGAAAAGCTCGCTTCCCAAGTTTGAACTTTCTAGTTACCACTAAAATTGGTCTTTCCAAAAAGTTTTAAAGTCCACCAACTCAGGAAGTGAGAAAGGGACGCCCTCCAACCAGACGGGCGGGCGGGCGGACTTCCGAGAAAACCCCAGGGATCAGGCCAGAGACTTTCCCGAGAACAGGTGCCACCTTTACCAGCCGGAAAAGCTCCCAGGGCCTCCGATCTTCATTAAGCCTTGTTTTGTATTGGACATAAGGCCGAAATCGGCCTTCTTCGTGGGCTATTTCGACGGGCATGTGCCATGTTCTTGTCCCAGTGGGGGGGGAGTGTTGGGCGGGTAGTGTAAAACCCCAGGAAAAATGCGTCCATGTTGGCCTGAGGAAGGGTAAACAACCTGTTGGCTCCGTGGATTGGTCCAAAAAAGGTCCAAGCTTTTGAGTTCCAATTGGATCTTCCCTCTAGGGGGGTTGGATTGGCGGCTTGGAGGTTGGTGCATTGCCTATCCATAAGAACCGGTGCAAATCCAAATTCAAACCACCAACCTAAGGGTAGCCTGAGTATAGATGTCCTTTAAAGCCAACAGGGAATAATTAAATCAGGTATCCCCGATTGAACCCTTCCGAACTTCCTTGCCTGATGCTCCGAACCACGCAAATGGAAGCCCATTCACACTTCCCTAACTTGATCTAATTTATGGCTTAGTTGTGCATCATATGAAGCTTCTGCAAAGGAAATTACTCTGCACATCAACCGCTTTTTTGGTAATGTCCCGGGTCAATTTCGAATTCAAGCAGTTGGACAAAACGCATGGATGGACATTAGGGAGATGTGATAAAATACGGGGTGACCCTAAATGGGCTCTAACAACCGGGTTCAATCGGATGCTACATACATGATTGTCCTTTGGTGCAAGCTGGAACCCGTTCTTTTTTGACACCCATCTGGGGGTTTCTCAAAACGGGAATCGGTCCCCTAAAATGCTTGAAGTGTCCAAAGGCTCTCGAACAAAAATGCCAACCAAATAGTGGGTCCATTTTGAGAAGCGCGATTCTGTTGGGTGTGTCCTTTTTGAAGGGTTTCCAAAACGACTTTGCAAAATAAACACCCAAAACAGGGAAGTAGCAACTCAAACACAAAAAACAAAACGGGGGGACAAAAAACAACTAGCCATTTGAGATGCCTAGTGGTTTCCCTAGCAAAAAAAACAACACCAAACACGGGGTAGCCACTCAACATAAAGATGTGGTTTCCTTAAACAAGCAGACAGAGGCCAAACAAACAAGCAATCAAACAAACAAGCAAACAAACAAGCCAGCAAGCAAACAAACTTAAAGAAACTTCAACAATCACATCAACCAGCCAGCACTAGGTCGCCCTGAGAGAAATCTGCGCCTTTTCGATCCTTGGGCTCCGATGGGATTTCGCCGCTCGACCGCTCGACCGCGCGACGGGAAGGCGAAAAGAGCGCCTTGAGGCGCTGCATCTCGGCGCGCCCGGTTTTGCTGGACTCCTCAAGGCCCTCCTCGGGGGTTTTTTGGGGGAGGATTTGGTGGGGGGGGTGGGGTGGGGGGGGTGGGGGAAGGGGTGGGGGAAGGGGTGGGGGGGGAAGGGGTGGGGGGGGGAAGGGTGGGGGGGTATGGGGGTGGGAAGGGTGGCTTCAGGGATGGAAAATGGGAAATTCGAGGGTCTGGGGCCACTCCAAACCACAATTTAAGCCGGGGTTACCTTTCTAAGGTGGTTGCCTCTGCCCCGCACACCGGCGCAGGGAGATCGTGGTTTCATAGCGAAAGCCACTGGGCTCCCGGGCTCATCTCCCCCCAAAAAATCGAAGCGGGTGAGAAAGGGCATCAATTGCTGGGGGACCTAGTTATATGAACCACCATGGTTTTAAGAAGAGCAAACATAATTCCAGTAGTGATAGATTCCCTTTAAAACCAACAGGGGAAAATCAACATGTTGTTGACCAAATGGGGGCCAAATGCTGCGGCAAACTTTGCTCAGTTGGGCTCCCAAACAAGGTGCCCCTTTCCTTCTTTTCCTGACTGGCGGGAAGCTGCAACACCCCAATCACAGCGACTGAGATCGAAATGGTCACGTTGGCCAATGAGCTGCAACCTTTAAACGCACATCGTCCACTCTCAGTCACAGAGTCAGGAGATGGTCACATTTACCAATGAGCTGCAACCCTCAAAGGCGGAATCCCCAATCACAGTGACAGTGTTGGGAATGGTCACAGTTGCCAATGAGGCGCAACTCTGGAAGGCACTTCCTCCAATCTCAGTCACAGAGGCGGAGACGGTCACATTTACCAATGCGCAGCAACGTTCAAAGGCAGAATCCTCACTCACAGTGACGGAGTTGGGAATGGTCACAGTTGCCAATGAGCTGCAACCTCGGAAGGCGTTTCCTCTAATCCGAGTGACTGAGTTGGGGATGGTCACGTCTGTCAATAAGCTGCAACCTTGAAAGGCAAAATCCCCAATCACGGTGACTGAGTCGGGAACGGTCACGGTTGCCAACGAGCTGCAACCTTTAAAGGCAGAAACCTCAATCACGGTGACTGAGTTCGGAATGGTCACGTCTGCCAATGAGCTGCAACCTCTAAAGGCACATCGTCCAATCTCAGTCACAGAGCCAGGGATGGTCACGTTTACCAATGAGCTGCAACCTTGAAAGGCAGAATCCTCAATCACAGTAACTGAGTTGGAAAGGGTCACAGTTGCCAACGAGCTGCAACCTTTAAAGGCAGAAGCCTCAATCACGGTGACTGAGTTTGGAACGGTCACATTTACCAATGAGCTGCAACCCTCAAAGGCGGAGTCCCCAATGACAGTGACAGAGTTGGGAATGGTCACAGTTGCCAATGAGCTGCAGTCTAAGAAGGCACTTCCTCCAATCTGAGTGACTGAGTGGGGGACGGTCACATTTACCAATGCGCAGCAACGTTCAAAGGCAGAATCCTCAATCACAGTGACTGAGTTGGGAAGGGTCACAGTTGCCAACGAGCTGCAACCTTTCAAGGCAGAAGCCTCAATCACGGTGACTGAGTTTGGAACGGTCACGTTTGCCAATGAGATGCAACCTTTAAAGGCAGAATCCCCAATCACAGTGACAGAGTTGGGAATGGTCACGTTTGCCAATGAGCTGCAGCCTAAGAAGGCACTTCCTCCAATCTGAGTGACTGAGTGGGGAATGGTCACGCTTGCCAATGAGCGGCACGCATAGAAGGCACAATCCCCAATCACAGTGACAGAGTCAGGAATGGTCACATTTGCCAATGAGCTGCAACCTAGGAAGGCAGAATCTGAAATCACCCAGACAGAGTTGGGAATGGACATGTTTGCCAATAAGCGGCAACCCCGGAAGGCACTTCTTCTGATTTGAGTCACAGAGTTGGAGATGGACACGTTTGCCAATGAGATGCAACCTTCAAAGGCATACGCCCCAATCACGGTGACTGAGTTGGACATGGTCACATTTGCCAATGAGCTGCAGTCTAAGAAAGCACTTCCTCCAATCTGAGTCACTGAGTGGGGAATGGTCACGCTTGCCAATGAGCGGCACCCAAAGAAGGCACAATCCCCAATCACAGTGACAGAGTTGGGAATGGTCACAGTTGCCAATGAGGTGCAACTCTGGAAGGCACTTCCTCCAATCTCAGTCACAGAGTCGGGGATGGTCACATTTACCAATGCGCAGCAACGTTCAAAGGCAGAATCCTCAATCACAGTGACGGAGTTGGGAATGGTCACAGTTGCCAATGAGCTGCAACCTCGGAAGGCATTTCCTTTAATCCGAGTGACTGAGTTGGGGATGGTCACGTCTGTCAATAAGCTGCAACCTTCAAAGGCAAAATCCTCAATCACGGTGACTGAGTCGGAAACGGTCACGGTTGCCAACGAGCTGCAACCTTTAAAGGCAGAAACCTCAATCACGGTGACTGAGTTCGGAATGGTCACGTTTGCCAATGAGCTGCCAGCTCTAAAGGCACATCGTCCAATCTCAGTCACAGAGCCAGGGATGGTCACGTTTACCAATGAGCTGCAACCTTCAAAGGCAGAATCCTCAATCACAGTGACTGAGTTGGGAAGGGTCACAGTTGCCAACGAGCTGCAACCTTTAAAGGCAGAAGCCTCAATCACGGTGACTGAGTTTGGAACGGTCACGTTTGCCAATGAGATGCAACCTTTAAAGGCAGAATCCCCAATCACAGTGACAGAGTTGGGAATGGTCACGTTTGCCAATGAGCTGCAGCCTAAGAAGGCACTTCCTCCAATCTGAGTGACTGAGTGGGGAATGGTCACGCTTGCCAATGAGCGGCACGCATAGAAGGCACAATCCCCAATCACAGTGACAGAGTCGGGAATGGTCACATTTGCCAATGAGCAACCTAGGAAGGCAGAATCTGAAATCACCCAGACAGAGTTGGGAATGGTCATGTTTGCCAATAAGCGGCAACCCCGGAAGGCACTTCTTCTGATTTGAGTCACAGAGTTGGAGATGGACACGTTTGCCAATGAGCTACAACCTTGAAAGGCAAAATCCCCAATCACGGTGACTGAGTCGGGAACGGTCACAGTTGCCAACGAGCTGCAACCGTCAAAGGCAGAATCCGGAATCATAGTGACTGAGTTGGGGATGGTCACGTCTGCCAATGAGCTGCAACCTCTAAAGGCACGTCGTCCAATCTCAGTCACAGAGCCAGGGATGGTCACGTTTACCAATGAGCTGCAACCTTCAAAGGCAGAATCCTCAATCACAGTGACTGAGTTGGAAAGAGTCACATTTGCCAAGGAGCTGCAACCTCGGAAGGCACTTCTTCTGATTTGAGTCACAGAGTTGGGGATGGTCACGTCTGACAATGAGCCGCAACCTTCAAAGGAAAAACTCCCTATCACGGTGACTGAGCTGGGAATGGTAATTTTTGCCAATGAGCGGCACGCATAGAAGGACCTTTGTCCGATCTCAGCCACGCTTTCTGGAATTTCCACCACTCGCAAATCCGCAGGCTTGACCCCGGAGGTTTCGAGGCTTGAGCACGTCACCGGCTTTATGCTCAGGAAAGCCAAAACTTCTGCACCTGGAATTGCATAGGACACCAACTCCTTGTTGTTCAACAGGGGCCTGTCTCCAAGAACCAGCTCCACCGAGCTCATGTTTCGCTTTGATTCGTCTGCACAGCGCAGCCACCCGTGCAGCTGCCGCTTGAACTCACCGACAGTCATGTCCGGAAACACTTGGAATGACTCTTCCTCCCCAGACAGCTGTCGCACCGTAATCTCTTTTGCCATGGCAGATGTTTACTCTTGTCTAGCAAACGCTGCTTGAAACGATCTTATGGTAAACTTGCTCTGAGCCTGCTGGGTTCCGGCTTGTTGGCCAGGCACGGTTCAGCTACGATGTTCCGGAGGGTGCTGAGGCTAGCTGGGTGCGCCTCTGACTTGAGCGCAGCTTTGAGCCATGCATTGCAGCAGCTAGCCCAAGTGCAGTCCCAAGAAGATAGCAGTGGCAATTGGGAAGTATAGGGAGCTGCCTTCTGTTTGGCTCGTTGTCTCCAAACTCGCCTTTTTTCTCCTTTTTCTATTTGACACATCAACGCCTCTGCATTTTCTTGCTTGACGTGTCCTTGCTTTCTGGGCAGCTTGAAGCGGCCTTGGATACCTGCCCAATGATTCAACTGCAATGGGGGGTCACATGCCCAGCTCCAAAAAAGAACAAGAGCAACATGACAGCCAAGTGTTTGGAGAACCCTACCACCAACAAGCGTGGAAGTGCACAAAGTCATCTTTCAAGACTACGTACCGCTGCACCCAACGCTATAGCAAATGGGTATGGTTGCTTCTTGCCTCGTCGCGAGCACATTCAGCAAGGCCTTGCCTGTTGCCCACCCAACAACCGGCCAAGCCCACTGGTGAAATCTGTGCGAAAAGGATCATGTCCAACTCCGAAGTGAGTCAGGGGAAACCTGGGCGGGGATAGGGGTAATGCCCACCCGGATAAGTGGAGTGGATAGGCATGATAAAACGTCGCTGCCTGGGTCCGATCGAAGAAAATGCCGGGAAAAGCCCGGTCGTGCCTGAAAACGCTCGAGTTGCCCATCAAAACGGTGTGTCCAAATCGACGAACTTTTCAGGGAGTTCCCCAAATGCCATCGATCGGACCCGGGTGAGGCTTCTCCCAAAGAAACTCACTGAAGTCGCCAAAAAAGGTCCCCAAACGGATAAACTTTACCAGCAAACGGTCCAGCAACTCGAGTCCAGGAACTCGAGCCCTAAAAAGGTCCAACTGATTCTTTTTTTGCTGGCCAGTGTGGGGAATGACCACTTCTATGATACAAGGGCTTCCCAAAGACTACTTTGTTCATATAAAGAGGGATTCCCTTGTACAGAAGGTTGGAGAAGAGTGATCCCACGACCCTGTTACTAGCCCTGAAAGTCTTTAAAGTCCGGGAACTCGAGTGAGGAAAGTCGAAAGTCTTTCGTCGCAGATCCGCCTACCTCTTTGGACCCTCCGTAAAAGGTG